TTTGCTACGCAAAGTTTTATTGCAGACAGACATGATTGTATATATTTGATGGAGTGTCCGAAGCACAATCGAACTCGTTACAAACGCTTGCAATATTCATCATACCCCAAATGGTGGATGTAAAAAGCGAATATTTCATGTTGAACAAATATTACATTTGCATTTACAATCCCACGTTTTGTATATGTCTGCATGTATATCGGCTAATTAATGCCGACCCCTACTTCGGTGTTCAAAATTAAATTCGTATTTACGTTACATTAGGCACTTAGGTGGATAAATGGTTTATCTTCGCGGAGTTGTTTGTGAAAAAAAAGAAAGAATAGTGAGTATCGGACATACACTCCAATGGTTTATTTTTAGTTAGAAGTATTTGATTTTGAAACTCGGTATTATTGTAGTCTTGTTACTCATGGCAATTAATTTTAAAAATTTGTATTTCGACTTTCTTTATAATGACCGTATGCAAAGTCACAACATTTTGCTACGTTCTGGCACATTTTCTATTGCAAGCGCGCAGAAGCGGCAAGTAGGAGCGTATAGAGTGGCAGAAGAGTGTATTCTCCGTTTAGAAGAGTGCGACCGTAGGTCGACTGGAAGCGTCGACGGTCTAGTGACAAGAGCACTGAACACGACGAAAGTCCGACCAACGAGTGAACATGTCATTTCAAGAAGCATCTTACATATAGTTACCGCTTTGGATTCTTTATAAATGAGAAAGTGTTGCAAATAAAGGGACACCCGGTGCTGGTCTACATATTCTTCTTTTTTTTTTCGTAAAGGATACCTTCTGTTTAGCATAATTTGCATCAAGGCAATAACACATCAATTTTAGATAGTTTAGCAGCATTTTCCAAATCTGTAGACGGCACAGTTCCTTGCACTGCTTTAAGAAATGCATTTGTTGCACGACATTCGTCGTTGGGTATGAAAAATTCGCTTATATGTGTTGATAAGACAAGTGCTCCCTTTTTTATTTAGGTTACTAAATAAAGTCCAGTACATTTACATCCTAGTATTCAAAAATCGAAGAAAGCATTCGTTATATGCAATTAGATGAGATGAGAAATTTTTCGGGGATTATGCATGCACATGCGAACACGTTTCGTAGCTGATTTACATGGAGTATGCGTGCAGGTATGCAATTAATTACAGGTATAAACGTATTCGATAAAGTGAATAAATGAATTGAAATTGGGATGAGTGGAAAGGATTCATGCCACCTTGTCTACTTGCAATCTCATTAGATTTTAGTTGTGATACAATCAGAGAATTTTCTTTATTCCCATTCCTCGTCTATTCAATTGAACATCATCGGACATACACTTTATTTGTTTTTACGTGGATACGTTTTCCTAATAGGTATAAGATATCACTCAGAAGTTTCGGAAGGAACCTTCGTATCTTTACTTATTTTTATTACTAATTTTGCAGAATTTCATATTTTATTTGAGCTTTATATTGACAACAACAAATTAGATGGACCTAGAATTTGTGCGAATGTGTGGTTAATATCTGAAAAGCATTTCCAATTATGTGAGAGCACTAATTACACCGAGAAAGCTGTATTCATCTTCCGAGAAATCTTCCGAGAAATCGTCTCAAAATACAAAATCCTTTAGAGTAAGATTTCAATACAACCTACGGTTCTCAGAAGACACAAAAATGAATAGGAAACTCTCTTGTCTGCAAAAAAAGAAAAGTCCACAAATAAACTTGTGCGCAAACAAAGTTTCCCTAATGAAATCAAAAATTTGTAAATTTCTAAATTTCTGTCCGTCTGTTCTTTTTTCGCCTTTTTTCGGCTTTCACGCGGAAACAAAGCAACGAACGGAGGAAGCGAAAATTTTTCATTGAAGCGTTAAAATGTTCCTTCGTCCTTCGTATTCTAATAATTAAAAGCGACAAATCAAGAAATTATGATCAGAATACAACTTTCTCGTTTCTCTTAGTAGACATGCGACCCTGAAAAGCGATTTTGTGCATTCGAAGAGATGAAATTTGCTTTAATTGAATTGATAATAGATGTGTAATATTTACATGTTCGCTTACATATGTGTACGGAAGATTTGAGCTTTGTAAAAATCGAACATTACTGAAGGGCATCAAGAGATAATTTTGAATTTTGAATAGTAACCAGAGAACAGAAAAGAAATCAATCAGGCACGAGTCAACTATGCGAATAACATATGAAAGAATTCGTTTGTGTTGTTATTATAAATAAAAAATAAATATATACATATAAACATATATTATGAACATTTACTAAGCTCACACGATTTAGATATCATTGCACATATATACTGTTACTCTTTATACGTATGCACACAACAGTTGTTGTTGGTGCGCAAGTAGAACGAACATTCTCATGCGGACAACATCATTGAATATTCAAAAGATTTCAACACACTATTAGAACACGCACATGACCACCAATTACCACATATAAATTTTGTAGATATTTTATGTTTTACTGCGGGTCTCATACATTTTAAATTAGAGACTAAAAAATATTGAATTACGGGCACAATACATTTATTTCTTTGCACGTCTATGTACAATCGTTATATTGACCCATACGCGAAGAGACTGCGTATCGTTTTAAAACAACTGCACTTCGTACAACTCATAACAAGAGGAAAACATTTCACAAAAATATCCACAAAATTTTTATTTGGTCTCTTAAATAAAATGTAATAATATAAGTATATATTTATGTATGGTATGTAAATCATTAGAACATGGCTAATTAGCTAGATTATGTGTTCCACACCAAAATATCGATGCATGTAAAACTTGTCTGTTATTGCAATAAGCATATACAAACATATTTGAAATGTATGTATGTATGTTATGAATATATGCTCATTATTATAAACACATATGTATGTACATATCTGCCAGTAACTATAGCCAGTTGTGATCAACTTGTGCAAATTATTCAAATAGATCTATTCACCGCCTTTCTATTTACATGTTCATATACATCACACACACACAACATATATTTAACTTAATTCGAAAAGAACGCAACCGATTATATAAATATCCTGTTGCTAATGGAAAATTTAATAGACTTATACATCGTAAAAAAAGTCAAACCCTTATCGATCCATTTAGAACAACATTGCAAGCAACCAAAATAAGTCCTTCCTGGCAAGTACAGTCTTACCTGAGAACACATCAATCAACTTCTGAGAAAAAGTGAGAACTTGCAAAATGCTTAGGGCAAAGTACTAAACCCAAAGAGATTAAGTATCGATATTTCAATTTTGGATGCGATAAACGACAATGGACAGGACAATTTGGTTCAGCTATAAAGCACATACAGGCCTCAAAATCGCGAAACAAAGTTATCCTATCATCGAATAAAACAATACCAGGGGAGCATTGCTCGGACAATTTGAACGCAAAGATTATGAAGAAAAAATTTTTCCCGAAAAAAACTACCGAATAAAAACCGTACATCGACTCAGGAAAGACTTCTTGCAATGAGCAAATTGGCGGAGGTGTATTAGAAATTATTATAGTGTTCAGAACCGCTCTAACTTTCACAAATCTCAAGATATCCTGATTGGCAAGCGTGTGTTCTCAACTATGATTAAGGAATTCAAGGATAAGTACATAAATTGTAATATGTTACTTTATTGTTAAGCTGCCAGATATGCATCCAAGCGAACCTCAATAATGCAGAAACCACTTGTCCATCTCTTCCTCCCCGACTAAAACGATCAGTTGTTCACAATACCCAAATTTTGGATGATCTAGAGGCGCTTTGCTAATTGGCAATAACATAACCTCCTTCCCGTTTGCAGAGCTTATACTGACGAATTCGATAGCGACGTGAGCTGAGGCCATATGAAATAAGGCCCCGTCTGCTCCAGCATGATGCGGAATTGCCTGGACTTTACAAAACCAGCCTACTGACGCGACATACCGCCCCGACCGAAATGAGGGCAATTGAGCTTTTGCGAACGTCATTCAGACCTATTAGCCTAGACCTAGGTCTTTTCTCCTCCAAACGAGGGGAGAACTTTTGACGTAAGGGAAGCAAATATCAATATGCCCGCCAAAGCGCTAAATCTGTGACGACTATTGAGAAAGATCTGGAAAACAAAAATATTCCAAAAGAAATCATTACAAATTGGATAATCATGATACTGAATTCATTAGCACTGAATTAGTAAGGATGTCAATGATCATCAGGGCCATCAGAGATTGCCTATGATGAGCTACGTGCATGGATGAGCACAATAGAACTTTTCGGCCGCGGTACCGGATAACCGGCTACATTACAACATAGTATTCTTATGCGCACTGCAAGATTTCCAAAATAATTAGGAGATGAAATTACTACATAGGCTCTCATGATTCGATACAAGAATGTGTCAAAACCAAGCCATACTCGAAACATATTGCTGCTCGTATTCTACGAATATTTTCGTTTTCATTCTAAAATTTGCTACGTTAAAAGGAGGGTTTTTTTGATCCAATAAAGTTACGTTCTTTTCGAAAAGAGATCGAAGTTTATCAAACCAGGCAATTAGTTGATGATAATCAACAAATATTATCGTAACCTGCAAATGTATTTTTTTATTAAAAATTTAAATACAGAACGTCTGTGAACGAGGACAATGCTGTTTTTTTAATAGCCTGGATTAAGGTATCGCGTATACTACATATAGGCACCTGGGATCCACTAATATGACTCCACAAGCCGTTTAGCAGACATTTGGCTATTAAAGGTTTAAATCATTTTTGAAAATTATTGCAAATATCTAAAGCCAATGAATCGCAAGATAACTAAATTCGATTTTATTGAAATAGGCATTGAATGCTTTAGTATGTACACACATATGTACAAAGTACTATAAGACTTACTTTGATTTTGATATGCGACTAACTTAATATATATGTTTATGTAAATGTATATAAAAATGTGAGTATATATGTATATATGTAAGTATGTGTTAATAGTAGAGGAATAGAAATATGAGCACCTTAAAGCCGTCGTACGTCCAACTGCCTAATTTTAAGATGCACGTCTGAACGTCATACGGAAAGTATTCAACATCAATTGAACATGACGACTTATAAACGGCAGGTGGTTGCCATATAACCAATCCATTATTATGGACTGTGGCTTTTGTCATAAGAGTAACTTCATAATGCCCGTCAGCACTGTAAAAATTACAATTTAATAAATCTGCTACATTAGCACACAATAGAAAGCACATAATGTTTCTTTAACCTCGCAGTACCTTTTAAGCCTAACTGACCTAGCTTTCTAGGTACCTATGTACATGCGCACATACTGGAAAAAGAAATCAAAATCTACACATGTACACACATACATATCTAAATTAAGCTGCTTATAGCCTGATCTTTGCATTTCATTATCAATTATCAGTTTATCTACGTACGTGTGTGTTACAGTTAATATGTATCAATGTTTATATAATTCAATTACTTACTTAGGAATATATGTATATATATTTAATACGAATAAGCAAGAGAGAAAAAAGAAATTATATCGGTTTACACCGAATTTTTAATACCCACCGCCCAAAACTGTCACACATTTAAAATTGTAATTACAATTACACTAAAGCCATTGCCCAAAACCCATAACATGATGTCACATGTTCGATGTCAGAAGTCAGTTTTTCAGCATAAGAACTAATCATCAGGAAGGTGTCTGTTTTGATTGACACCTTTGATTTTAAAACGGAATTTATCGGTTCTCGTTTGAGATAACTTCACATTCATCGTACATATAAAAGTGTACTGTGTAATAAATGTCTAATAATGCCTTACTTAGTGGGTTAGAGAGTGCAACAGAGGGACAGACATGAAAAAGCGGACAACGGCTGTCTAATAATTTCAAATTGTACGCTAACCCTCATTAAGAACCTTGAATATCGTTCGTGTGAAGATGGCGGGTACAATAAGAAAAGGGATTTATTAGACGATAGTGAATTATAAGTGTGTGCGTCTATGCCTGTGTATGTATGTGTGTATGTAAGTATGTTTGTATATGTGTGTATATAAATGTGTGTGTACATTCCGGTATAAATATATATATGATATATAGCATATATATAATAACATAGGTACACGTGGATGTGTTTGTATCTAATATGAGGCAACGGGGAGCGTTTTAACGACAGATAACAATTAGCAAATGAACCGATTTAAATTTCGCAGCATAAATAGTTTGTGCAGGGTACAGAAATATACTTACATATCGAGAAAACACAAACAGTAAAATTAATAAGATTCACTTTCAAACAACATGTACCACAATGCAAGTTATGATTCTTAATTTTGAATGAATACACGTATGACATGTAATTTCGATTATGTCTGTATGATTATGTGTATATATGTACACATGTAAAAGAGTTAAAAAAAAAATTAATAATGTTATTTTTGTCGAGACTAAATTGTATTTCAATAAAAAATGTTCTTGGAAAAGGAATGGGCGAGGATGTAGTATACTCATACGTACGTAACGAAAAAATTTTACGAACGAATAAAAGCTTAATGTTCAATGTTCAAAAACTTATTTTCAATTATATAAACGTGTACGGGTATCCATTTGAGAACACGTCCAAAAATTAAGAAAGAAAATTGTATTCGCCATATGGCGAATCTTGAATATCCCCCACCTCAAACCAATATATAAAATATATGTGATCAGTGAAATTATATCACGCGTAAATATTTTCATCACAAACTAGGACATTCCAGCAACGAGCTCATAGTGGTTAGGATTACAAGTTAACCAAAAATCTTTGTTTTAACTCACAAAGGGAAAATATGTAATGTGCATTACAAGTGGAATCATAAAAAATAGATACGAGCTTCCATGCGCAAATGTTTCTGATAAAAAAAAATTTTTGTTCACGATTTGATTATTTCGCCAGGTTAATAGCTACACTTATAGTTTCAGCTATTAGTCCGAACAGTCCCTGACCAGTCGTTCAATTTCCTAGGAAAAATCAACCACTTGAGGTTTAGTGGTTCCATTTGAAATTAAAGGGAACCAACCCAGCAAATGTTAGAATTAATTCACTCGGAAGTTAGTTGTCACGAAAACAATTCGACGGTTGGAAATTTTCAGGCAACCTTCAGCGTATTTAAGGTAATTAATGTGAAAGTAGAAACAACTTGTGCAGAGTGTGTCGGATATTTAACGACTCACATATCTGACCGTAATTTCTGGAAAACGATTGTTGTCGTACCCACCATCAGGGGACGGAAGTCCATTCATTTTGTTCTTTTGTTCTGCTTGCGAAAAGTGCGTTGCGAATAGGAATCATTAATATGACAATAAACGAGATGTTATTAAGTGCGAGAAATATGATGATCTAATGATCTGAATTTATTGTCGTTTTGCCGACGAAAAGAATTCGACCAAGACCAACGAAACCCATCTATAGAAAAAATTCACTGCAAATCTATTCTAATAGAAATGATAATATACACAGGAGTGAGTCGTGCACATCCTAGCAATGGTATGCTCTTTCAAACGAAAACTTTCGAGTGTCATGTCGCTAAAAATCGTTTCTCCCGAAGCAAAATTTTTAAAGTCGATTACGGCCCAGGCTTTAATTTCCAATATGTCTCATATAATCTCAATGCCACGCTACGAATTCTATGAATGATAAGCTCTAATAAAAAGTGAGAAGATTTTAAAACGGAAAACTAAATTCACTGCCCGGTCCTTACAAAATGCCTTTAACAGCTTTTCGTTTGAATCGAGACTATGTACTCCATGGGATAAATTATTGTATATGTGAAGAGTAGAAAAAGTACATTAGGTTTTCTAAAATGCATAAACAATAAATATATTCAGACTTGCAGCGACTTCACTCTTGTATTAAGATGCCGTCATTTGGTTACTGTATGCATAGATAAATTTCTTCTGTTGATTAACGAAAAGCTTGTTAATCTTCGAAGGCTTCGAAACTTCCCGAATTTTCCTAACTCACGTTTCTAAGAGAGAGAGAGAGAGAGAGAGAAGTTCGAAAAAATTGTTCACTGCATTTGTCCTATGCGAGTTTGCCTTTGCATTCAATGTTTAAATGGACCCGTTTTAGATAGAATATTAACGACCAAAGCTATAAAGTTGTTTTGCGCTTCGACCATTATTTTTTTTTTTTTTTTGTTTTAAATTTTATTTCTCATATTTAGCTAACTCCAGGCGTGATCACTTGCATTTCCAAAGTTGGCGGCTGGCCATCAACTAAGGATTTCAATTTCTTTGTGAACTTTTACACTGCAGTGTGCAATAAACTTATGATGATCGAGAATTTCTGCAATTTATGGTGTCTTTAATGGATTCTTTGGACATTCAAGAGGAAACCTTTTCACTTTTGTAATAAATAAGTAAATAAACATGTATATAATTCTCTAAGAGCTGTGGTAAACTCCGAACTAATGATAATGACGCAATTGCTAAGAATCATTTCACATATATTTACATAAATATATATATATTAGACGCAAGTGCTTATTGTTCAAGAACTCATACTCATATCGTAATGGAAAATAAAGAAAATACTTCGATACCATTCGGTTATTTAGTTTGAAATCTTATGCAACCTATGCTGATAGCGTACGTATGTAAAATATTGCAATATATTTAACAGAAATTTGTTCTTTGGCGATGTGTAAAATTTGATTCTTTTCTCTTTCTCGTTTCTTTTCAACTAAAAACAAAATTGACTGCAAAAGTAGAAAAATAATGTAAAGTAATGTAAAACATTTTTAAATGTATAAATAAGTATGAATAGTAAACAGTTCTGGGTAAAATAAACATGTTGTAGCTGTCTGTGAGGGATGGGAGAGGATGATGGAAGCAAATGATTTGATGTATGATTAAAAAAGAGACCCACCTTAAATCCGTCATACGTCCAGCTGCCGAATTTCAAAACGCAAGTCTGTTCGTCAAATGGGAAATATTCTACATCTATTTCACAGGATGATTTATAAATGGCCGGCGGTTTCCATTCAACTAATCCTTCTGAATAAATGGTTGCTTTTGTTGCAAGTGTCACCTCAAAGTTACCGTCAGCACTGAACATTTAATTTTAATAATATATGGTTTCGAGTTGTGATTTAATCGTGCACATAATTGCTAACTTGGTTACTTAATATATCATTAACTTATTTTTTAATATCATTTATGTTCACAAAAAAGCAACATCGCTTATGCTGTGTATTGCCCAGGCCCGGTTATGTATGCATGTAACGTATACCTATATTCGTGTTCAGTATAGAGTGTCTTTATGTATATGTACGTTTCCGTTTCTTTCTTTCTTCTTGTGAATTTTTGTTTGTAATCGGAATTACGTAGATATTAGATATTAGGAATATGTAAGATCAAATCCTCTCATTCCCATATATAATAATATGTATAATATGTATATAGTATTCAATCAATACTTTACTTTTATTTACTATAATTATCTTAAGTAATATCGATTAATTTCATTAAAGGATTAAATTATTTTAAAAGTAAAATTAAATCATTTATTTATTTAGAAAGTGCACTTACTTGTTATATAGAACAATGTCAGGACGCCAAATATGATCGGATGGTACGTGCAACATATGCACACCACCATATTCTTTCGGCTCCCAACGTAACTTATAATCGTACCACGACTATAAAAAGAAAAAAAAATAACTTTATATTCTTTTCATTCACTTTGCAAGTTGCTCCGCTTTACCTGCTCAACCCAAAGATTAGTTGTCATTATTTGATTTTTGAGATTCTGTAAAAGAGGAAAATTGTAAGAGTCTCTAAGTATGCAGATGAATGCAAAGCAATTTAACTTTCTTACCACGTCAATAAGCTGTGATAATTTTAGTTTTATGCACACTTTAAGAACGTCTGTAGTATTGACCACTGGACGCACAAGTTTGTTATAATTGCTTAGTAAATCATCGTAAAGCCTTTTGGCATCTGGGTTTCCAGCTACAGCACCATGCACCATCAATGCAGACAATAGCCATGCCCGCAACGTCTCTGCAGCAGTAGGTTTCATTTTACTTTATTACTTAGCGTTCTAAAGATTTACATAGAAAGTGCAATTACTTCCTCGTTTGCTCTTACATTTTGAAAATTAATAATAATCCATCCATTTTTTAAAAAAATTCTTTCATAAGTGCAACCTAAGTTGACCTTTCTTGGCAGAGCCTTATTCGCTGGCTGCTGAAGTTATGAAAATCGTCTCAGAAGGGTCTAATTGCATATGTTACAAATCGTTGTGGCACACATTCCATTCATCCGACTTTTAAGAATCTCAAAAATTCCCGCGTAACTACTTTTACTTTCCGGATGAAAAAGCCGTAGCATTTTAAAGTCTTAAGAAAAATCGGGGATATCTGCTAATCTTACTAGAAAATACATTGAAGGGTAAACGCATTTCAACCTATGAATTCAAATTGTCTAATTTATACGCCATTAAATTTCTGAATGACCTATTTAATCGAAATCGAAAGTGTCATTTTTAAGCTACTTCTTTAGGTCTGCCTGTGGCTGTGTAGGCCGTACGAGAATGTCTATGGGGAAGGTGTTATAACCCCTTTAGGAATATGAAAATAATAATTTCCTTCCATTACATTTTTATCTAAAATTGAAACTGAAGCTTCAAGTAAGTTTTAAAGTATTATCGTGCTAAGAATAATACTTTGGACTTACGGAGAACGATTATAAAAAACATAAAGCACTGAACAAATGTGGACTTACCAAGAAAAAAAAAAAAAAAAAAAACAGGATATATGAGAGCACAATTAAATATGTGTTTATGTATATATCTCCACGTGCACAGTACACATGTATAAAGCGAAAAAGTTATCACCACTGAAAAGCGAGGGCTCCCAGTTTTATTAAGCCAATCTTTGCGAGAAATAACATTTATTTTAAACAGACCTTAATATCAGTGACGTAATCCAGTTTATATTTATTGCACACATTGATTACTATATATTTATATAAGTTTTTACTTTTATCTTCGTGAATAATTATTAACAATATCCTTTTGTACGTAATACATTTTCAGATTTAATATTTTTAACAGCTATACTTTTCATCGTAGTTTCACTTCAATTATTTCAGCGCATCTGAGGATTTTTGAAAAAATTTCCTTTTTAATCGAAATCATTCAATTTTATGTAATACTGGCGAAATTGGCGAAAACATGCGCGTATACATATGTGTAAACATGTGTAAATATGTGTACGTAAACGCAAGGGGGCCTGGGGGGAATGAGCTCAATTGAGAGCATCATAATTTTTGTTTTGGAGACGAAGTGAAAGAGCATTGGAGCATAGAAAGTAAATTTTATTCTCACAAAGTAGATTTTATTCTCAGAAAAATCCAAAAGGAGAGTAAATTTTACTCGCAGAAAAGGCAAAAAGGGCACAAAACTGACGGAACATAATTTGTTTTTGATGCGAAAGAGTTTTCATGCTCGCCAATAGAGAAAGGATTTTACATAAGAGCGCGAAAAATAGCATATTTCTAAGAAATCAGAGTTAGGACATTTTTTTTCCATTTTGAAAAGCAGCTCCTGCAGAATATATTGGAAACAGAGCACAATTATTAATAATAATAATAAAAATAACAAAAATAGTAAATAAAACTAAGAGTTTTCAGTCCTAAAATGAATTCGTTGTAAAAAAGATTCCCATTAGCAATTTTTTTTCAAAGTGTCTTAGAAAGGCAATTCATAATACGTACTTTTCCCGCTTTTGTAATTTTTTCTTTTCATTCCGCAGTAGATTGGAGAAGAAATCTGAAAAACAACTATAGAATTTTAACTAAATTCAAATTTCCACAAGTACTATATAGCATATTTATAGGGATTTCGCCCTATACTATTCTAAAGCAAGCATAAAAAAGTATTATTAACTTAATAAGCAACCTTGCAAAATTGTCAGTGTGGCTAATACCTTCGAAACATATTAGGTGTTTTTAAAACATTTTCATGATATATTACTTCATCATCATATCTACACACAAAAGTTATACATAATAATTAGTATTTATCAGTTCTCCTTTTTTTTTATTTATTGTGGTGTAAATCAACTTAACTTATCAGAATTTAATTGTGCGGTGCAAAAGGTATAAATTGAAATGTGCTACATAACGTTCTAGTTATTGCTAAAATTTTATAGTATAGTTAAGAGAATGAGAATGAAGGACACCACGGAAATTTTATGTCAACTACGGAAATTAATGAAACGTCCAACAGGTGGACAGTGGACTTCTTTGGCGGCATACATTGTGCCTTCCGATGATGCACACGGAAGTGAATATATTTGCGAACATGATCAACGTCGCGCTTTCATCAGCGGTTTCGATGGATCAGCTGGGACAGCAGTAATAACGGCTGACAAAGCCTTGTTGTGGACTGATGGACGTTATTATCAGCAAGCAACAAATCAGTTGGATCCGAACTGGGGCCTTATGAAAGATGGCCTACCGACGACGCCTAGTATTGGAAGTTGGCTCGCTGGCAATTTACCAAAGGAGAGTGTCGTAGCAGTTGACCCAAAATTATTATCATTCCGCCGATGGCAACCTATACACAAGGAACTCATAGCTGCTGGTAATCAGACGATTTTTATTATTTTCACTTTCTGCTTATCTATTCTACGCGGTGTGCCATTTCTCAATTTTCCATAGCCCACAAATACAAAATACATATAGAGCTACACATTTGCATAGAACGCCTACTTATGCCCGTACATTAGGCAAAATTGCACAATGGACTCACGTTGCTCATTTTTCATGCATTGCGCAATTTGTCAAAAAAGAAAAGTTATTTCCAAATAACGTATGCGTATGTGTATTATTACTTTGAACTGTTGGTAAAAATAACATTCCCACTCCAAGATTTCTGAAGAAGGATTTCAGGTTTCCCGCAATTTTGTGCAAATTCACGTCTTTGCAAAGACATAGTCAAGAGCGTTTTGTAAAGTAAATCGCAATATTTCGATTCACAATGTAGTATAAAATGTTCGCCCAATGCGAACGATGCGTTTGCAATTCCAATATAACATAGTTGTAAATACCCTATATTGCATTACACTTTCCATAATTTTTGCTTGTAAATCATTTCAAACTCCTAGGAGCCAATTTTAAATGTAATATTTAATATTAACTTGTATATAGATTGTTCTTTATTACCTTTGGAGGAAAACTTGGTTGATGCCGTTTGGGGAGCTGAGCAACCTGCGCGTACGTGTAATCCCATTATCACTCTAGATTTAAAATTTGCTGGAGCAACGATAGCTGAGAAATGGAGAAATGTCAAATGTCAAATGGAAGAAAAGAAAACTCAGTTGTTAGTTGTTAGTGCCTTGGATGAAGTTGCTTGTGAGTTTCTTCGTAAGCTGACTTTATTTCTTTTTAATGTTTTTATGTGCTCTTATCACTACGTAGGGTTCCTGAATTTGCGTGGATCCGATATCGATTATAATCCCGTTTTTTTTGCTTATCTCATTGTAACTCATGATGAACTTAAGTTTTTTGTTTCGTCAACGAAATTGCCTTCTGACTTTAAAGATCATTTGGTTGCAAATGGAGTTGAAGTAAGCATCTTTGCCTATGAAGAAATTGGAGAGCGTCTCAACCAACTTGTAAGTATTACTTTCTAATATAATAAACCGACGAATATGTGTAGCTTGAGTTCCTCTATAGATGCCTTTTAACAACGATTCGCGATTAGAAATAATAATAATTATAATCAATATATTGTAATCATTATAATTATATTTCGTAATCTATGTAATTATTGTTTTATAAATTTACATTGTCGACTTACGTTGTGTAATAAGAATAGTTTGGGTTTACAAACAAAAGCCGACATTCATTGGCAAGAGAGCCGCGAAGATATTTTGAAGACCAAGCCACATCTTAGCCAGTAGTTTCCATATTTCAAATGTGCTCCAAACACATAAAATACTTATCGCGGTCTCTACCCAGAATTAACAAGTAAGCATGTGCTTACAAAAAAAAAAACTAAAATCTGTTCTTTTCATAACTTCATAACCTCATTTCGTGCAATTTTTAGCAACTTTGGATGAATACCTTTTTATTACTTACAATATATTCGGTACATGTTTCAGGGAATTTGAAAATATTTTTTTTAAATTCTGTCGTTCATTATATATATATATATATATATATATATATAGCAGTGACTTTAGTTTTTTCTATAAATATAACGTCTATTAAATTATTATTTGCAGATTAAGAAAGGAGAAGAAAAAATTTGGATATCGTCAAACTCTAGTTACTATTTAAACTCAATGATTCCGAAGAATAAACGGCACCAAGAGGTCTGGTAAAATTCTTAAAAGTTCATTTAAATATGTAAATATATCTTTTAGGTTACGCCTATTGCACTCAGCAAAGCTATTAAAAACAGTGCAGAGGTTGAAGGTTTTGTTAATTGTCATATTCGAGATGGTGTTGCTCTGTGCCAATATTTTGCATGGCTCGAAGGCATGGTCTTAAATAAACAGCATGTTAGTGAAATTTCTGGAGCAATTAAGCTGGAAGAGCTACGCTCGTAAGCAAAATTATGTGAAATTGCAATTTTTACTTCTTCATCAAATGTACAATGATGCAATTAAAAAAATTGCCACATTCCTTAAGAATATTTTTCTTTATCATTGCTATTCCCATTAATATTCGCAATTATTATATTGTATTCCAGCAAAAGAGAGCATTTTATGGGTCCAAGTTTTGAAACGATAAGCGCGTCAGGACCCAATGCTTCAATTATACATTACAAACCTGCCGAAGATACAAACCGTGAGATTGCTGACAAAGAAATATATTTGTGCGATTCTGGAGCGCAGTACAAGTATTAAAAATTTGCTACTAGATATATTTTCTTGAACTAAATGTGTGCACAACATTCTATTTAGAGACGGTACAACAGATGTAACGCGTACTTGGCATTTTGGAGAGCCAACCGATTGGCAAAAAGAAACTTATACTCGTGTGCTTAGAGGACAATTAACCTTAGGTGCAACGATCTTTCCTCGGAAAGTGAAAGTAATGCATTCTTTAAATATTACCGATAATGTCTCTACTTTTATCAAATTTTTTGTAGGGTCAAGTTTTAGATAGCTTGGCAAGAAAAGCTCTGTGGGATATTGGTTTAGATTATGGCCATGGCACCGGACATGGAGTCGGACATTTTCTAAATGTTCATGAAGGTCCAATGGGTGTGGGTATACGCTTAATGCCGGATGATCCTGGTCTACAAGAAAACATGATGATTTCAAATGGTTAATAAAAAAGCCCGCGCAGCAATTTCTAGTATTAAAAAAAAATTATTTACTCAAATTTACAGAGCCCGGTTATTACCAGGATGGAGAATTTGGCATTCGTATTGAAGATATCGTCCAAATTATTCCTGCAGAAACCAAATGTAATTTTAATGGTCGTGGAGGTTTAACTTTCAAAACAATAACCATGTGTCCCAAACAAACAAAATTAGTTAAGAAAGAAATGCTTTTGAAGGACGAAGTGAGTGCGAAATTATATTTATCTAAATTTCATGCTATGTTTGAATTCTTTTAGATAAATCTGTTAAACGAATACCATCGCCTCGTCTGGGATACACTTTCCCCAATACTTAAAGAAGAGGGCGATAATTTGACCCTGTTGTGGTTGGAAAGAGAGACGCGAAAAATTTAACCCACGGATTTAAGCATTTTTTCGACTTTATGCAATCCTTTATGCGTCATGATTACTATTTTGATTCAAATAAGAAGATTTTTTCCATTTAAAGTTCGACAATGTTTTTCTTCTATTCGCGGTTATTTATTACAAGACGTGCAATAAATTAAGCTGGCGAATATTGTGGATGTGGACAATGCATTTCAAAAAATGCTAAACTAAAACTTAATTAAAAATTATGTCACCTACTCTAAATCAAGTATGCAACATTAATAGCATATATGTATATTTGTACATATCATTCGCAGCTTTTCTCCCAGATGTTTCACATCAGATTAAATGGTTACGCCGCATATTCATCTTTCGAATTGAATTTGCCTTCAAAGAGGATGTAATCTGCGCGGTTACCAATCGAGATTTTCTGATGCTTCACTAAAAGTTTTACTATTCTCCGAATAAAATTGCAAATACCAGCTTCGGAATAATTTGATGGCACTATCCTCCTTCACTAATTGTGGGTGTTTCCGAAACGCTTTATGATTCCACATTATCATATCTCGCTCGAACTGAAAAAAAGATAATATACGATCAATAAAAGCAAGAAAAGAATACATCCTCGGCAAAGAATTAGAAATTGTATTTCAGCTTTTGAAGAAAATTTCGCAACTAATGTTTTGAGTTTGCGCATACATTCGCACGGATAGTTCGGCATTTGAAGATTCTAATTTTACCCACCTCCTCACCCAAACTACAAACTATTAATTATACGCAAACATGATCAAAGTGCATCATGCACCGTGCAAATGAACTCCTTTTTCTGATTTCGGATGGTTGAGTGGAAGCCACTTAATTGCCGTGTATTAATGAAATTTTGTTGTTCGCTTGCAAAGAGTAAAACTCAAAGACGCAACAAATAGAAGATGGAAATAAAAACTGGATGTATTCCTTAAGATTTCAATAAGTTTACAGTTACAAAAATGGGATTTTTTCCGAAATGTATTATAGGAATGACAACACTTTCTAACATATTTTTGGGCGATCTTCGCCAATGGATTTGAGTGGCAGGAAGCCATTTCTGACTACTATCATATAAAACGAATTGAAATTCGTCATTCATCCCACATTTCCTCTTGTACTTACCATGACGCTTTCACCTAAGAACACTAACTTCGTAATGGGAGCGAGAATACGTTGTGAATAGAATCTATGCACAACTTTTTGAATTAACGGCTCAACAGGTGTAATTGTTTGCAATACTTTGATTCTGCCAAATGTCGCTGACTTCATATGAAGTTGCACATATGCAGGGCCAATCTGAAAACCATCGAAGACTATTTGCTTAGATAAAATTAAGCAAAGTTAACATGAAATGTAAATACCTGTTCTCCTGTAACATCCATTTCGAATATGTGCAACTTAGATGTCATTTCAATTGAGTGCTTCAGCGTCACTCTTGCAACGTGCTTGTAAGGTGATTCGCATGGCTTCCATCTGATGCGAATAATTTTACACATAGCATATTTACATTTGTTTAAATCAAAGAACAATAGTTAGCAATTACATGTTTATCATGTTTAACTTTTAAGACACTACTGATGCTAAATGATTGATTGACTTGACTTAATAACTGCAGTATGCACTGATAGGATTTTTTGTTTTTTTAAATAATATATAAATTTAAAAATAAATAAGCTTTACGTTAAACGAATGAACAATGAAATTGTGTCCTTTCTGTCATATCGTTCATATCCTAAAGTATAATAATAATTTGTTTCTCTTTGCTAAACTAATTATATTAAGAAAGTGTAGATTTTAGATCACTTTTTGAACGCTCGGAATTGCTCGGAAAAATTGTCACAACATATTATAATCTTTTATAATTTGTTCGCGCAAATAATTGCTATGTTTCAAAAATTGTAGTGGAAGCAAAATATTTCTTTAGGATTCTATCGAATTTCATGGAATAAGAGAACAAGATGTAAACTTCACTACGACAAATATTTCGGGAGAATATTACAAATAATTCGGTATCAAACTTGAAGTTCTGTGCAGGATAAGAAAGTTTAGAATGCATACTTACTCAGCTTGCCAGTGATGGCTTCCCGGACCCTTCCATCTACTAGTAACCGAATTAATCCCGCCTGCCAAAATACTTTTCTCGTGGATTGCTTTAAAATGGGCTAAGTCGGCTCCATTTTCGGGGATTTCTTGAATATGGCAGTTCACAAAAAACTCATTTCTTCCATGAAACACAAACTCTTCATTTTCAATTTCTTTTATGACAGGTAGGGACCACGGTGTCTCCGCAGGATTAGCGTGGTACCATAAGAAAATGTTATCATTTACTTCTCTTACGAGCCACGTCCGGAGTTTAGATCCTTGGCATACTGTTTCAAAAATCATTCGATTGATACGCACAGTTTTTATTTGTAAAAGAATATTTTTGCACTCACCGCCCGTAGCGTAAGGGATGTTAACACATTTGCCATCACTACCACGAAAACGCCATTGATGAAATGGGCATTCAATTTGATCATCAATAACTCGCCCCCCTACGCCTAAATTAGCACCCATATGTGGACAGTAAGCATCCAAAACATACACGTTTCTTTCTCTCGTTCGGTAAGCAACCAAATGCTCTCCCAACGCAAATATGCTTTTTGCTTCACCCATTTTCAAATCTGACGACTCTAGTATGCTGTACCAGCCATTTGGATATGGAGGAGGTAGCTCCTTAGCACCTATTTTTCGAAGTTTTCTAATTCTGTTAATTGCATCCCTTTTCGCAAGCGCGTTCCATTTTCGACCAACAGTGATATCCAAGTTATAGCCGTCATAAACTTTCTGAAAACATAATAATTGTAAATCATATTCATGTATATCATATTATACATATCATATATATCATATTGTACATATCATGTTGTCAATAACCGTATTTTTTATGCCTTATGTGTCCTTGTGAGAACTGGACTTCATATATTCTTACACAACTAATGTAAAAAGATCTGTAGCATATAAAAAAAAAAAAGGAACAGCGTAACAGGGCATAGGCTCTCTTGAATATATATCGTCACATTGCTCATTTACTATTTGCTGTTTCAATTGCTCTATTACGGCGCAGGCGAATTATTTTCACGTGGGTACCCATGGCTGATTTTTATCATTTTTACACAAGTACTGTAATAAGACCCGATACCGATAGAATATTAATAGAATTTTTTATGTACTTCAACCCCTTAAGGAAAAGCAATGTATCGTCCGCTTGGATATTAAAATTAGTTTATGATACCGCGAAACAACGACGTCATAAGCAAAAAATGAGCTCAGAAGCAAAGAACAAATACACAACACAAGCCCAAAAAAAGGTGATAGATAAAAAAACCGATTACTTAGAATCATTACCCGTAATCATCAGTTTCATGCTGGATGTTTGGTTCCTATCTGTAGTCCGGAAATTATTCCAAAACACAAATGGAGTCGATTGTTTAATAATATGTAATTTCATAATAACGAAAAACTATACGTGCGATAAAAATTGGATAAAAACAAGCTTAAAACCAATCTGATCTGATCTCGCTTCTCGTTCAAATGACGGAAGGAAAATAAAAATATGATGGCAGCGGTTATATGTTCGGTTGTCTTCGATATTAGAGGGAATTACTTCCTCATCTTACATAATAAGAATTAGTAAACGTGAAAATATAAAAAAATACCTACCTTTGTCCAACTACAAGGAATATAAAACAAGCAGTATATTGATATAGCAAGAATAGTTACGATCACACACAACATGTAGTAGCACATGCTAAAATTATTGGTAATAGTATGATGCGTTGTCCCAATGAAATACGTCAAATCGAAATGGCTTAACGTATCCGTCCCGTTTAAATTGCAGTCACTCATTTTCAATCAAGATGGAGCTGCAATCAAATACAATTTGGATTTTTATGTTATGTTTATCTCTTATGCACATTTATTTGTATTATTAAACATACAATGCACATTATTTGCACTTTTGCATTTCACACGTAATACTGTCCTGGTAAAATATTTTTTCTGGTTTTGGTAAGCATTTGTTTTCTGAACATTTTCAGTTTCCAAAGGCGGACACACCGATAGAGTGATTGACAGAGTAAGAACTGGGTTTATTAGATGGATCAATAGAGAGAACTGAATCGATTTACCAATTGATCAGGATTGTATATTGCTAACCAGAACCAGTGAAAAGGCGGCTTCGGCGAATGAAAGTCACTCTGCTGGAATAACATTTCAATTTGCAGTCGATACATTAAAAATACTTATGGGCATTAAATAAATGCAATGTTATGCTAAAACTATTTTGGCTGCCCGTTGACACCTTAGAAGGAAAGCTTTCAAGTTCGCTCTTTACACTAACTAGTTTAGAAGAGCTATTCCAATCATGAATTAGTTACGTCAACTCGGATTCAATGTAAATATAAAATTGTTTGACGTTAAAAATCGAGTCTATCGTCAGACTGTGCTTTGTTTCTTCAAACACTTTCTTGTCGAGAAATTTTACCTTCAAATACTTAAATTACTTTTAACGCGTACGGAAGGTGCGGATGCAAAGACGAAGGCAGAGCCGATTTAAAGCACAATTTATTAAATTGGGCAACGGAAATATTTATAGAATACACGCGCAATGAAAAATTCAACTTACAATGGAACATTTGCAGAGATAGACCGGCATTTATAGGTTTTCCAGTATATGCTCCAATACATATAAATGCTAATATAATTTTAATTAATTCTTCAGTTTTATCTAAAAAGATTCAATACAAAACTATAACAAACTAACGAGTATAAGGTGCTTTTATTTTTATTTGTATTTTTTGTACGTCGATGTTATAGATGAACGGAGATTACAATGCTACGCATAAGATCGATTTGCAATATTTGCTTCTTTGCTTTCTCAGCAGCAGACATCGCGAGTGAGAAAAGCACCCATATGAACATTTTTTCAGCAGACTTCACACACATGAACTTTCTTAATTCGCCGATTCACGATTCCGTTGCTTTACAAAATATCCTTCCGTGCGTATGGTTTCACTTGCACCTTTTACTCGATCTCAGAGGATGGACATGTTAACATTAAAACATCGAAAAATGTTTTTCAAAGGTTCCCATATCATTCTACGAACTGCGATTCGTCCCCTTGGGGTATCTGCTAGGGGTGTCTATGAGCGGCATATTTTAAAAGTAAATAACAATATTCTTAGTGAATCTATGTAAAAATATATATATCGTAGCTAGGTAAGCACTCCGCTTAGCTATTCGCAAATTATAATTTTAACTTATATCATTTCGGAGTATTGGTTATAAAGCACAAACTCCAGGGCGAATACATTGTATTGTACAGTTTTAACTAATACCATTCAAAAAACATATTCGTTACTTAAGTTCTGTTTTATTTATTGGCACAAAAGCAACAAATCGGCACGTTTCCACGTTCGTTTTCTTTAAAAAGAGCCGTGGTACACGAGTCAGAATGTGCATTAATTTCGAATTCTCGCAATTTTTCATTACAAATCATAAAATTTTTCTTATGTGTACGTAAACAACGTACGTTTATTGCGATGAAAGTCAAACTCAAAGATGTATTTGAACGGCTTTGCTTATATGGAAGGGAGAGGAATTAGAAAAAGTCTGATACTGTCAGGTTTTCAAAGCCATTGTAGAAGTTTAAAATCGGAAATCACGTGTCATTGGTCTTGTAACATGTATGGGAATTTAGATCGGACTCTATGTATATTTCAAAATGTGAACGTTAACCGTACTATTCATAAACTCAGGTGCCTAAGAGTCACCTTAAGAATTAGGATCCGATCAGATCAGATCCAGTTGTCATTTCTCCTTTGAGAGGATTGATAATATACTTTAAAATATCGCCCCTGATAAATTTTAGATTTATATTTATAGGAAAGTAATCGTGTAAAAAATGAGAACCATTAATAGTTATTCTGTGCTGCTATAGACTGTTTGTGAACTGCAGACGTCGTTTTAAGCTCTTTGATTGCGCAGATGGACGGACATTAGCGGACATCGTGCCGTTTCGCTGGAACTAGACAAGTACAAGTGGTAGGGGTATGAGGATTTAAAGTCAACTACTCATAAATGCGGAGTACCAACCCAACTTAAATATGCAGAACAGTAAAATTTGCATAAAGAATATAAAGTCGTTTAAGAAAAAAAAAGAAAAAAAAAAGCTGCAAACCCGTGTATATATAATCGAAGCAAGGAATGGGACATTTGCTCTTTGCGTTCCTATATACAAATTTTGTCTTCCATAAACTTTCGTTATTTCAAACTTCGCCGGTGGTATTTGAGTTTCATTGGTACAGGCATGTTTGTTATTCGTTCTAACAATTGCATATCATATGCCGCGATCTCGCGGACGACATACCGAAGAGTCATGCAATGGAATATTTGCGCTTACGTAGCATATTACGAATCTAGCGCTATCTTGCAGTTGTGTTGGTATGTGCTCTCGCTTCAAGCACAAAGTAAGTATCAAAAAATTCGCTAAAAGCTGAAATTTTCTTTAAAGTTTAATGTGACGTTAATATTACGTCTTACGTATTACCTTTGCTTCTATGCACGGACACTTTTAAATTTGACATTACATCTGCAAATTTATGCATAAGAGAAGAGAACAAAATAAACAACTTTTACCCATATACCGTCTGCGAAATGCAGACAAATAAAGCATTACAAAAGCGAAACTACTCTTTCAAAAAAAAGGTCTTTTGCGTGGTCGGACATTTCGTAATTCCAAGTCTGTAAGAAGCGAAGAGACTATCGCAACTGAATTTGAAATTGTGCAGTGTGCACAACCGCATAGAATTGTCTCATTCGTATGAGATAGTTTTAGAAATAGAAGGCCATCTTTAACCCATTTCTTCATAGTTAGCAACATTTATTAATCTCCAATCGGCAAAACACGCTTGACGGGCTTACACGCTTAAGGGCAACATTGGGGCTCTTAAGTCAATCATCTATCCCCCCCCCCCCCGGGATTGCGTTGCAGGTATGCGCATTATTTAATTTAATTAAAAGCGCATATTTATGCTGGCACATTAGCGGCATATTGCTTACGTATTCTTTATTCCAACTTGACTGGTTTAAAAAATTCAAGAGATCAATTCGGGCTTACACTTACACTACCTTATGAGCGTGTCAACTAAATTTTCGTGGAGCATCAAGGTAGAGCGCTCTAAACTAAACGCAATGCAACCAACATACATTTAGGAAGGAATCATTACGTAGCCCTCAAGCTATCAACTATGAATGTAACGGCAACCGTAAATGTGAGATGAATAACGCATATGGGTGTCGAAGGCTTGCTTGTCTGTATTTTTATTATGGCTTTCTTACTTAATCGACTGGCCTATTTAGGAAACAGGTCAAGTATTTTATCTTCGTGGATATTCCAGCGATGAGTAGGTTATGTACAAAGACCAATAGGTCACCAAACTTGTTTTTTATTTGTTTATTTATTTACTTTTTTTATGCACAAAAGTACTAAGAGGCGTCACTCACTGAATCCACGTTAATTCTATAATTTTTAATCCCGAATCGTACATAACGATCATTCGCGTTAATTAATAGCGAATATTAAAAGTACGTTCGTACATGGATTTTTTATTGTCCGAGTGATAGCATTTGCTAAAGTATACAGACGACCCGCTGTTTACCTTGTAATTGTTGCACATATTCCTTTTTCTTAATTTTTTACAATAAAAAGCATACTAAGCTTATAATTTCACGCCACTTCAACGTCTCGTACGCATGCAATTTTCGCAACTTTCACATTTGCTTATATTTTTTCGCAGTTATTCTTCGAGAAATGCAATGGATTAGTAGTCCACGGTTCCGCTCGCAACGATTATTCATTCCCGAGTAATACGCTCAAAATTGCTTCTTTTCAGCTTTCATTTCATTCTTTCATTTACGCCCGCAAAACTTAAATGCATTGTTTTTTTGTTATTAATTGCTCTTCGCAGCTCACATTATTGTGGTTTAAACGATTTTCATTTGTTTTATTATTATTTATTTATGTTTTTTTTTTTAATGAATTTACCTGCCGAACAAACTCCATTTTTTTGAGTTCATTTCATTTGCTTTTCTTATTAGCTCAGCACATTTCCAAATTTGGAAACTAAAAGACAAAGTGCTACCTGGAAATGCATGGATAGTTTTCATCATCCTTTTCGTGAGAAATTCAAATGCTCGGCAAGTCGTGTGGTGTTTTCTTAAATTTAGCCTTCAATTAGTGAATCTCTCTGTTCACGCTAACTGGAGAGTCCAATAGCAATTTGTTGAGGACAACATCATCATGGTCGTTACGAACATTCCTATGCAATATCCACAGTGTTTGCTATAAAAATTGCTTTAATCGACACGCCCGAGCACAAAAATATGCTAATTGTGATCTATATTTCGAAAATTTTTGTTTTTGTTCTCCTCAGCGGGGTATTTTATAACCAAGCACTAAAATTATTCGGCTTTACTAGTATTTAAAGAGGTTCTAAGGAAAACCGCTAAAGAAATTTTATTATAAATTCAAAATTTCGCACAAAAACAGCATTTTGAAATTCGCTTAAAAGCGAATCTATATTGTGGGCATTTCACTTTCCTATACAGCCTTTGTTGTGATGAGAGCTAACAGTAGTGCACACCGCAGAGAAAAAGATTAAGACTAAGTCAATGAAAGCCAAGAAAGAGCAAAATGCTCTTACATAAGCAACCAGCCGGCAATTCTACTAAATTGGAAGATTAACTGCGGAGTAAGTCTGCAAATGGTAGCAATTGCTTGCCAAAGAAGATATTAGACTGCTGTCATTTTTATGACTAGGACCACTCGAGGATGCGCTCGCGCGTGTAAGCGAGAGAGAGAGAGAGAGAGCTATCGTATTCAGTTTCTTCGAATATAAAAAATATCTTTAGACGAATTGCTCCCGAAGTTTTGCTTTCAAACTCGGCTTCATTGACAATCATTGATAACATCGATAAAATCGATTCTGGATGAATGATGTAAGAAGTTTATACACATGGTTCCAGTTTTCGACTAGTGAAAACTGGAGAGGTCGATAGTCTCCGAGTTCTTCTCTTGCAATTGCGGTTTAATGCGGTTTTTAGGACTGGTCTTTCCTTAGCTTTGACCTTATTTACCTTGATTGACTTAATTTGCTATAATGTACGAAACTGCTATTCTAGAATTATTCACAATGATTTTCAGTCTGGCAGGAATGAAAAGGGCTGCAAATGGGACGAACATCTACTACCGAACGCTGCCGTAAACTTTTTGTTCTCTATCGAATAGTCGAACCGAAACTACACAACGACTTTTATTTGAATAAAAACAACGGCAGTAGCATCGCATTTAAGTTGTCGTCATAATTTATTTGCATTCACTCATCCAAACTGTGGTGATTATTCATACATAATTCTGAACTGTTTCTTAAATTTTATTACCCATTGAACTATTTATTTACAATACAGTTTCTTCAAGCTATTCTTAGCCCTTGATAATGGGGACTTCAGTTCTCGTTTCGTAAATGGAAATAACAAGAATTCTTCTCTCAGATTAATAAATTAAAAGAGCATATTTCATCAGTTTATTGCTTTGCTTAACTTCTAGTCTAAGCCGCAAGCTTAGCTTCATATTTCGTATTTATATTTTAGAGCATAAACTCAGTCTTACACGTGAAAAAACTACATAGCACACTTAATCTTCTTTCATGTGACTCTAACAAGCAAATGATAAAATATACCAGAGAACAGTATTTGTGTTATCTGAACCATTACAATTTTCCCCTGAACCACAATTTTCCTAATTCGTACCAAATGTGAATTATATTGAACTAATTATAATTATACATATATATCTCTGTTGCATCATTTAATACGAGCACGAGGTGTAAATACTAGCGGATACGTTTTCACTGGCAAGGCAACACATGCGGGCCTAGTTGTAATCGCAGACACATTTCGGGAACTCACCTCATATCGTTGCAAAATGTTCGCCAAAAGAATGAACGCGAAGCGACGTAACAAATTTTGCCCAATGCAAGTTCGCTTTCCTATGCTGAAAGGTATAAAGTGCGGAATATTGGCTTTCAGTCGTGCCCTTTCTTTTCCTGCGTCAGTTTTTTCAGCTTTTTGCTGTTTTTGTATCAAGTTGGTTGCGGACGATTTTCCGGCCTTCTCCAATTCGACACCTGAATCCGAACCTTCCGAGTTTCGTCGAATGGAGAAGCTTTTGCCCACAGACTTCTGAGCATTTGTTTGTGATGTCCTTTCGAGAAAGCGCTCGGGATCAAACATTTCTGGATTCTCCCAGAGTTCTGAACTTGTATTCAACTTATAGTTATTTATGAAGACTACAGTGCCCTTTGTAACGCCATATCCAGAAATGACAACATCGTCAGTGGCCACATGCGGCACAATTGGCGAAGATGAATGCCGCAAAACTTCATATATAGTAGCCATTGTATACGGCATTCTTGCCATGTCATAAAGGCTGATTTTTCTATTGGCAGTTTCGCAAATATCGTCCGCTTCTTCTTGTATTCTTTCTCCGATAAGAGGATTTTTGGCAACGTGACCGAGAGCTAGCAAAACAAGATTCCCCACAGCCGAATGTCCGCCGATGAAATCTTCCAACATGAAAAGGACTGTGTCATGTGTCACATTTTCACTCTCAGCAAGGTTGTTTATGATAGCATCCGTAAAATCCCTTTCATGCCTTTCGCTTTCTTCCGAATCTATGTTAATTTCTCTTTCGTGCATTATACGCTGCAAAATAAAGCAGCGAATCGTAGCAGACCAATTAACGATGGTTGTGGTGTGCTTGCGATAAAATGGAGCTAATGAGGGGAAAAAATCGTGTGGGCAGCCATGATTAATTTCCCAAAATATTTCATCGAAACATTCTACGACTTTTTGGAAATCTTTGTCGTCGTACTCAAATCGAACCGAACACATGTAATGGGAGAACATATTGGCGCACGTTTGCTGGAGAATGGGCTTAATTTCAAGCTCTCCTCCTTTGTCGATTTCACCGTTAAGTTTGCTCACAAATTCATCGATTTCAAAGCAACCCACATCAGACATTTTTTTAAAATGAGAAGTCGGTTCGCGAGGGGAACAATGACTTCGAGCTAAGTTTCGTCGCTTCTCTTGAAGAGGCGACCAGTCGCAGAGGGCCAGTGCTGCAACAATTTACAATCGTGCTAAAAATTCAATAGAAATGACAATATGGAAAAAATTTCTTACAATTATTACGATCTCCACCGAATAGTTTGTGATAGCGTAAAAAGTCTGGCCGACCCCCGAAAAACTTTCCATTTTGATTTAAAACTTCTTTCATTACGTCTAAATTATTGACGACTAAGCAGCGGGTAGATCCAATTGTGAGACTGTAAATGTCACCTAATTCTTTCGACAATTGTGTAAATGCGTCGAACGGAAAACTGAAACGCAACAGCAAGTGCAAGTTACCAATAATTGGCCACGGTAAAGGACCGGGTGCTTGTTTGTACTCCTCAACAAACCGTTCACCGCTATTCGACGTAACTTTGACGATTTTGACTTTACGCAGGTGATTAAATAACATTCGCGTATAAAGCCCAACAAACAGAATAAATACTGCACTCAGCAGAATCACCGGAACCAATAACATTGTATATGTTTTCAAATTGATGATATTTGACCAAATAAGTAATACAATAACAATATAATAGAGTTTAATCGAGCGCACCTTTCAGATTTTATTCTTAACTAAAATACTTCTGCTATTCGACTCTTCTTTTATAGACCTTTTCGGTTAACGTTGCTCATTAAATATGCCATCAATGAAGAAAACAACGGCTACACCTCGCGTTTCGTTTTATTTATGCAATATGCTCGCGATGGATGATCATTGATATGTATAGACATATATGTATAGAGAATTACTTATCCTCTCGAAATCTCATATCCAAATTGAAGCGGTACTTTGACAATACGTATGCATGTATATATCAAAGTGGCAAGAAAGCTGATTTACATAAGTTTTAATCATATTCAACTCACCTAACGTATATATAGCAAGCAATTTGTATATATATATGTAGAGTATATCATTTAAATGCATTTATATGTCATAGCATATATGTTCAGATTAAGCAAGTATCTTTTTACGTATTCAAATTATCAGAGAAAAAGTAAGAAAAACGGTAACGCCTTGCCGGTAGATCTTGGATATCACCAATCAAAAGTAAATTATATAGAATATTGATAGGGACTAATGGATTATTAATCTTACGCAAATCAAAAAATGAAAATTCCAAACTTAAACCTAAAACTATCTTCTTCTGTGAGTCGGTCATGTCAGAAATATCACAGAAATATTGCCGACGATTCATTCAATTTTTAGATAAACAAGCAACTGTGGGCCATGCTGACGAGAGGAGCATGTTGCCTTTTCAAAATGCTTTGATTACAGATGAAAGAATTTCGAGATAAGTTTAAGCCATTTCAGTAACAATTTTTAAACTCCACTCATCTTGCCCTAAATAGAACGAGGAAATTACGAATTTAAATTTCAGTAACAGCACGCGCAGATGTGTGGAGTATTCAAATGAATGATTTGTAATTACGTACCCAAATTTCTATCGGTTAATGTTTAGCTTGAAAACAGAAATACTTGCATCTGTTCGGACAAATATTTCGTAAACGAATCTTGTCAAATGCGCGAAGGATCTTTTTGGACATAAAATATTATAATAATAAATATGTATAGCAGTCTCGTTGACTGTTGAAACTCGCCTAATTACTTATTTTGAAATTATCCTGGTTACTTTTTCCATTCTTTCTAACGTAAAGGGAAAATTGAAGGATGTAATAGAGAAGGTGTTATTTTTTGTGTAATGACTTGAAAGAAAATATGCGGATTGTCCACTTTTCTAATAGGAGAGTAAGAGAAAATCTCCTTCAATAAAAAAATAAATAAATAGAATATATGTAAACATGACGTAGATCAAAAAAATGGACGCCACACAAACTTCTCTCTCGCCGTATTTTGAAACAAAAATCATTTGGAAGTCATTACTTTTAATGGTAAAGAGAAGTATAATAAGTTGCACTTACTGTTGTTCTTTTATGGATTAACAATATCACTCAATACCAAAAATGATGATGATGATGATGATGATGATGGTGATGAGTATACACCGCCTCAGTTGTACTCGTTTAGGAAGGAGTCTTCTACTTAAACGTATCTTCACTATCTTCTTAAACGTATTTGGCTAGTACAATAGAATGTGTATAAACGATAAAAATATTTTCCTCCTCTACACTTTCTTAAGCTGTTTCTCTTGTTTTCTGTATAATAGGTTTGAGAATTTAAGAAATTTCAAGCAACAGGCAGGCAAATAAAATCTTATTTGTTAACTTTTTTACACGAAAATTATGTTTAACAGGCAATAAAATTACAAAACTTTTGTTCATCATTTGCAAAATGCATTCAACGAAAGTATTTGTAAAACTTCAAAATCGAATTGAACGAAACCAAACTTCAAATAACAAATATCAACAACTTTAGCAACTTTATCAATATGATCCAGAGTCCAAAAGAAAATGACAGAAGAGCACAAGAACATTTTTAAAATAACAGGTAGTGCAGGAGCGTACGCACTTAAAACAATATGGCCCTGTAGCATTACGTCACATCAAGATACAACAAAGCGTATAATGAAAATGTAAGAGCAAGTGCACAAATTGTTAAGTGTATTACCTTAACGAATCATTCAAAGTCCCTAAAATATTCCCAGCCTTGTATTTTAAAAATAATCTTGTCTTCTCTAGTTATTGGTTCTCTTTAATAATTGCCATACAATTTCCAACTTTTCTCAAGTGTAAACATCTCTATTGTTTGCAATCATTTTTGGATAAGGAAAGGAGTTCTTAAAAGTAGAAATAACATAAGTGCTTTACTCGAGCTCTTTGCATATTTAATATGTGTGTACTCGCTATGCCTGAAAATAGCCATCAAATGAAAATGGAATTGATATCAATTTTGAATTTTTAACGTAGTGCCTAATTTAGCTAATCGTATTGCGAAAACTTGGATATTTATTTTACAATAAATGCGTAAAACCTGGCAGCTTCTTTACTTATACCGTTTATGACGTCCAATACGGAAATGTGCAGCTCATAACTCGACTGTAAACCGTTATTCGTTTCAGTGTAATTTCTTGGCATTTTTTTCTCACTGCTTTTACATTTACAGTAGGGAGGGGCTGTTAATCAAGTCAATGGGAGAATTTGGTTATCAAATGAACGAGTAGGTTTTCGTGACATCAAATAGAGATTAAAATTTAAAACATTTTTTATTCAGATCAAGCGAGGCAGACACGATTGATCTGAGTTTTATGAGCAGAACTGACTTTAGTAATAGCGATGTGGAACGTGTTTTACTGGAATCGGAGGAGAGTATTCTAAACTCGATCGAACCAATCTCTGATTGCCATGACTCATCCGCATTTTTAAGTCCTATGAATGATATTTTAGGCGATCTAAATGAATTTGGGAAAAGTTTTTATTCAGACCAATCAGGGTCGTCCCAGCAACAGCAGTCTCAGCAGCTTAGTAGGCCTGCTATTAGTTGTTCTTGGCTCGGGCAAAGAGAGGCGAGTTTTATCAATCTTCCCATGCCCACTCCATACGCAAATGCAAACCAGGATATCAAACTTCGTCCATCTTTGGAATCAGTAAGTATTTATGACATGGAGACTCAACCAGAACATTCTGCTTTGATGACCGAAAATGGAGTTGAATTCACTACATCTGATTGCACATACATTGGACCGGAATATCCTTCAAATTTGAATCAGTGGCTTTTCAATTCAGAACAGCAACAGCAGCAAGTGGCCTACATGTCCCCCTCCATTCAAAGCATAAGCCGTATGTCTGGTATGGCACCTCTCCCTATTAATGCCGCAAATCAAATGAATTCAAATTATTCAGCGCATTTCCCTAATACAGTGCAATTCTACGGATCTTCTTCGATTGCCTCACCATCGATTCCAATGGGGGATAACTTTTTTGCTAGCCATAGCTCAGCACATGTTCAAGACGTTCCTACTACGAAAGCCGCGGAAGTTCCCCATAAAGATTTAGAAGCTAAACCGGAATCAATCGAACAAGTGCAATGGAAGTTTGGAAGCAATTTTCAAATAAGTTCCAATAATGTTTTTAATAACAGTTCAACATTTGATGAAGCTGAAGGTCGACCACCTTCGAATGCTCCAAAGGATGCAACAATGCAAAGAAATTTATCGGAAGATCCGCAGCAACACCCATTGCCAAACGCTTTAGATAGGAATGGTATGCACTGGGGGTCGATATTTCCCCGCAACCAGCTGATTCAGCCACCTGAAATGGTTGTAATGCATCCACTACGTACACGCAAGTTAGTTGCGTCCAAACGCATTTCGTTCGCCTCAACGACACAAACTATTACCCATCAAAATTCAACTGATGTGATTGACTGCTCCCAAGATAATCCGGCTAGCCTTGCTAGCAAAGCTGTCCAGCGGGATGAAAATGCTGGAAAAGATAGCGTTGAAAAAGAGTGTGATCAGACTACACATCTTTTTGATGATTTCTCCAATTTTAATTATAATCTTACCAACATACCGATGATTAAAGAACGCTCAAGATCCGAAAATCGAAGTAAAAATCGTAGAAAACAAAAATTACAAATAATTCCAGGTAAATTTTTTACTAAATTAATTCATCGCAAACTGAAAGTAAAAATATCACTTTTTGTATCGACTATTAAGTCCTTCACCCAAGTTTTGTAGACTAACATAGAAAATATGTGAAGCCATTTCTTGCTTTGGAAATGTATATATATAAGCTTAATAGTTAGGTAAGTAGATAACTACTCCCAAATTTCAAAGTGTAATAGCAATAAAGCCAATTGTCAATAAAAATGAGCAATATCCGAGCGTAAATCCTTGGACGATCTCAAGGGTCGCAAAAATTATCTAAAAACTGCACCTTACTCGTTATGGAGAAACTTTTGGATCACCTTTGCTTGCTTTGAAGCTTGGCTGTTATTTGTCTAATTGAAATTTATTAAAAAGCAATAAAATATTTTCAAGTAAACTGCGTCACACTAAGCGGTGATAATTGTTAATGTTCTCCTATGTGAAGTGTATAAAAGTTTTCTGTTTTTATAATTACGAAAGTAAAATTGATGAAGAGCTCGATTATTATCGCAATTTGCCGTTTTACGCTATTTCCAAAATAAATTCTTACCACTGAGTTTAAACAGCGCGAACAGGGAGCTCGGCTTAACATATTCATCCCTCTTTCCGTCTATTGAAAGCCCGATTATCACGTCGATGGTTATATGAATTTCTAAGCTTTTTCGCAACATTCGAATAAACAAATATCGCTAAAAAATTCGGATTTTTCATATTCCCGTAGGTTCAGAGAACGTGATTTTTGAGACACAACACGCTGTTGGTAATGTTGTAGAAGACTCCGTTCCAATCCAAGCCGTTGTTGAAGATCATGAGAAAGAGAGTAAAAACGAGGGTACACAGGACCCTTACTCAGAAATGGAATTACCTGAATTAGATGAGATATTTCGGCGTAAAAAAAAGCCTGTCGCTGTTGTTGCTGTCGGTAGCAAAAGAAATTATCAGATAACGCCGCCTGTAGCACAGCCTATTGCTTCGATTGCAAAGAAAGTTTATCGAGGCATTGATCAATCACCACGTAAAGAATTACAAGAAAGTTCAATTTCATTTAACGAAAAAATTTCTGTCCCGATTGCTATGCGTAAAGCTCGCTCTCATTTGGCTATTAACAAAAGTGTTTGGACATACAGTACAGACTCGGATTCAGAAGAAAGTGCCAGGCGCGATGATCAAACGCCAGCAGCAAAATCTTTTAAGTGCACGAAATGCAAAAAAATTTTTAAAACCTCTCGATCCCTAGCAATACATACTAAACGTTGTATTAATTCTTCACATAAGGACAAAAGCGACACGTTATCAATTGTTTTAGCTGAAAGCCAATCCAACGGCGAAAGCAATACGAATGAGAATTCGAAAAAGAGTTCTGATGAGTTGCAATCTCTATCAATATTAAATGAGGGTGGACGTTCTCAGTGCAATAATTTATTGCCCAAGATGGTAAATTCTCATGTTCAAGAGTCGCCTATTAGTAAACAAAAACCAAGGCCCATAACTCGATCCCAAACCCGACGATCGACTGGTCGATCAATTTCAAATACCGGAACAAAACGTTCAAAATGACTTTTACTATTTTAACTTAAATTATTGTCGTGAATATATGGAGGTAAGATGCTCCATATCCTTTCTTTTTTTTTTGTACATATGTGTATTAATCCATCATTGTGTTTTATGTGTACTTATTTAATTTTAATTTTCGAGCCACACTAAATAATTTAAATACACATAAAAAATTTTACAACTTCATTTTTATATCATTTAAGTGCACCTCCTATACTTAACGGTATTTTATATAGTTTCGAATATCACAAATCATTGAATTAATGGGGATAACTTTGTTAAAAGTTATATAAATACAAAGGCTGTTTTTCATCTAGTTCAAATTTAATTAACTTTATATTATTTAGGTCAAAAAGGCAAATTTGATGATATCAAAAAAATTGTGTCTATGTTTTATCTAATTATTTGTTACATGTAATGTGTATAGCTATTTAAACTACATTAAAGGGGCTCGTGTTTCTATTTTATTAAAACAACTGCTCGTTCTTTTTTTGCGATATTTCTATAGCTATTTTAAATATAATAAAAATATCAATTGTTTGGTTACATGGCACAAGTGGTTTATTTTTACATTAGCAAAGGCAGAATATTTCTTTATCCGAAATAAATAACCTTAACTTATTTAGGAACTACAAGCTCATCATCGCAAACAATACGGATACTGTCAATTATTGACTACATGTGGCATGTTGCGTTTAATGTAAAGTTAATGGGTTTATTCGAAATTTTCTTTTGACATAAGTCATAAGACTTAAAATTTTAAGAAGACAGAACAATTGCTCGTACTTGCTTTTAAAAAAAAAAGAAAAGATGTCTTTACATTCTGCCATTAAAGGAAAATTAATATCCGTAATTGGTGACGAGGTGGTGTCTTTGAATTATAATAATAGTAATGAGTGGGATTAATGTACATTTATTAATATGTAGGATACCTGCGTTGGTTTTCTCTTAGGAGGAGTCGGAGAAATTAACAAAAATCGTCATCCCAATTTTATGGTAGTCGATAAGAGTAAGTATGACAAAAAACCTTAGAAATGATGTAATGTGGACACATTTTGAAGATACTGCTGTAAGCGAAATCGAGGATTGTTTTAAACGTTTTCTGAAGCGTGATGACATCGATATAATTCTCATCAACCAGAACTACGCAGAGCTCATTCGTCACGTTATAGATGCACATTCCTCTCCAGTGCCAGCCGTTCTTGAAATCCCATCCAAAGATCATCCATATGACGCCAGTAAAGATTCCATTCTACGACGTGCCCGAGTGAGTGCTTTTCAATATATTACGAAAGCTATTTTGAAAAATTTGTATTTCTTTAAGGGCATGTTTAACCCCGAAGATTTAGTTCGCTAGATATGTTGGTCGAGCCCATTGATGTGTTTGATAACAACTGGATTAGTTTTTCTTATTGCAAATATTCTTGTTATTAATTTAAGTGTTCACGGCATTCGTAAATAAAATACTTGCTTAATACATTTTGAATCGTGCATCGTCTTACAAACTTCTTTGTAAGACGAAAAACTGCATAATACGTTAATTCAACCAATGTTTTACATAAATTCAACATATATTGTTACTTTTTCTAATTTTAAAGCGGCCAAACAAATTTCTACGATTACAGCAAGTAAAGTCAGAAATCAGCGCAGATGACTAGTAGAACACCCGATTACCGGATTACAAAATATTAAAACATTGAAAAAATAATTCTGCACCCACGCAATGAAAAGAAAAGATACTGTAATACTTCTCTAAAAGGTTTTTTTATTAAGAAAATCTGGTCACCTTACTAATATTCAGCCTCAATAATTGTTAAAATTTATGCAAATATAAGCACAAGGAAACGATCGGTTTGGCTGGCTTGATGTTTCTTTCGTAAAGTAATTTATCAAAACGCTTTAATTTATAAACAAGGATAAGATATTTTCATAAAAAAGTATTATATAGGAGAACTCGCGTCAAAAGCAGACGGTTTGCTGTTTTCGCAAAGAAGGAGGAAAAAAGGATAAGCTTATTTAATTTTGTGGAAAGTTCACATTACATTATTGCCTTCGACTCTTGTCTTGATTTGTTCTTTTCACAATGAATCCGCTTACGTAAGTTTCATTAGAGAAGAAAATCAAAATGAAGGTATTATTTTCCTACTTTCTAGAAATATGAGAAATGTGCTAAAACTAAGCGAACTGGAATTGCGAAGGACATCAGAGAAGGGATCTTGGCATGACATGTATAAGAACTCTGCGTGGATATTTGTGGGAGGTTTTCCATATACCTTAACTGAAGGCGATCTAATTTGTATATTCTCCCAGTATGGTGAAATTGTTAACATTAACTTGGTACGCGATAAAGATACGGGTAAATCCAAAGGGTTTTGCTTCATATGCTACGACGATCAGCGTTCTACGATTTTGGCAATCGATAACTTAAATGGAATCAAAGTGAGTATATTTACACATCGTTGTCATCAAAGCACTAGAGTGAATAAGGAACTTTTGCAAATAATAAACAGAAACAAACTACAGAAACGACTTCAAACTTGATAAGACTATGAGTCAGCCTGTTGCTTTCACTCATAAAGTAAAAATATGAGAATAACTTTATGAAACACATCTAAAGATTTTTGAAATGGTTGTTGGGTTCAGTAAAAGACGTATAGCAAGACCTTTGGGTTTTTATTTGTTTGTTTAAGACTTAAGACTGTTTGTCTTATACTTTATAATGCATATAATAAATTAAAAACATTTTGTCTTGCAGATTTTAGGAAATAGCTTAAGGGTCGATCATGTAGCAGATTATAAGCCACCGAAGGAAAAAAATAAGAACAAAGGAGGGTTTGCGAAATAATGCTGAAAGTTATGTTCCTGTTTCGCGGCCGTGATGAGGTATGTGACAAAGACGGATCTACTTCTGTAAACTTCGGAGGCACTTGTAATCTAATATTTGTGTATACAGTATTCAATTTTTGGCTTTTAATTCCATTTTTTGCGCTTAAATACGATCTTGATAAATAGCTACTTATTCATGTAATGACTAATTCTTTCGCTTTTAAATATTAGTCACAGACCAGTATTTCTTTGCAAAATCATATTTATTTAAATTCTAGTTTTATTTCGGATTCAGACCAGGCTTTTCATTATTTTCTCTATTCGATTTTAAACCCTCAACCAATACATGGATGAACGAATTCTGTTGTAGTCTGGTAAATTTTCGACGGGACCAACAGCGGCTACGGCAGGACATCGATCGTAAATGTATTTCATTGCGACATCGCGAATATTTTTAACATCAACAGCTTCGATACGCTGTTCGAGTTCATGTAGAGGTATACGGCGACCGTAGCAAAGCATTTGTCGACCTATATCTTCACAGATGGGTGTAGTGCCATCTAGTTGCAGCAGCATATTTGTTTTTAATAAATTCTTGGCGCGTTCAACTTCAGCTTCGGTGACCATGGTGCAAAGGCGCATCCATTCAGTCTGAACGTTGAATAACATGTTTTCGCATTCTAGAGGGTCACAAACGTAGTAAATGCCCCATAAGCCTGTATCCTTATAGCAAGTATTGAAGGACTGGAAACTGTGACATAAATCTGCAGACGCGAAAAATTTAATGGAATAAAAGTTTAAAATGGTGAAAATGGAAACTTACTGTCTTCTGCACTAGCACGAGCAAGATTGGAGGCGTTATTAACCCCGCCACCCTGGGACCTATCCCATGCACCAATCAATGTGTTCGCAACCATCAAAGGAATATTGTCCTGATCGGTCCAACCACAACCTTCAACAGCTATTGCAATGTGAGCCAAAGGAAGTGAATCGTCACGAACACGTACTTCCGAGCCAGTGAAACGGCAAGGAGCCACTGAAGGCGGTTTGCCATCAAAAGTATTTTCCAGTTTACCCAGATGCTGCTGAGCCATTGTCACCAATTCATTGTGTTTTACACCACCCGCACCAGATAAAACAATTCGCGAGGCCTTGTAATGAGTGCTAATGTAAGCTTGTAAGTCATTCTTGCCAATACTCCTAAAATAATAAAACGTTTAAAGCTTAGATTAAAAAAAAAAACTTAGATTAGCTCGACCTTAGAACTAACTCACTTGATGTTCTTCGTGGGACCTAATATAGTTTGACCCAAGGGAGTACCTTGATAGGCAGTAGCGTGCAAATGGTCAAAAACTACTTCTTGCAAATTGCTTTCGACTTCCTGCATTTCACGCAAAATCACAGAGCGCTCACGTTCGATTTCAGATTCGCCTAATTTCGAATTTTGTATAATATCAGCCAAAATTTCAATAGCTTTTGATACGTCTTTCGACAAGCACTTGGCATAGAAAACTGTTTGTTCCCGCGAAGTGTAAGCATTCAAATGGGCGCCCATATTCTCAACTTCCAATTCTAAATCGGTCTGGGACCTTTTGGAAGTACCCTTCAAAATGAATATAATTTTTCTAACCTTCTCCATCCATTTGAATTTGATTTACCTTGAAAGCCATATGCTCCAAAAAGTGAGCAACACCATTGTTTTGGGGCGTCTCAGAACGAGAACCAGCATCAATCCACAGCCCTACGGTAGCAGTAGAAGCGCCTGAATCTTCACTAGCAACACGCAAGCAGTTATCTAAAGTAGTCACTTGAGTGGCAGGAATATTCAACAGAGTTTTCCTCATAACCTCTGCTTTAGAAGCTTTGAAGCGCTGCAAAGAATCCCAAATAAGACATGCGGAAGTTTACAGTCTTTATCGTTTTTAATAAAACCGTCGATGCATCAGAGCGGATAAACGTTTTTCGGAAATATGTTACTCGAAGACAATTGAACAGAATTGAATGTAATTTGTGAAATTTTTTAAAAATTTGAACATTACGTAACTTTTGCCAATGAAAAAATTTCAAAAATTTATTACCTTTAATATATCGGCTCCTCTAGAAAGGGAACGCAAATTCCGCGAAACATTTAGCACACGCATAGCCATAGCTCGAATTTAATGTTCGAAAAATTATATGAAAATGCTTCTTTAAAAGCTAGAGAAAATTAATTTTTTCCTATTGACAGTCAAAGGAGAAGAACAAGAAATTTTTTAAATGACAGATAAAAAATATAAAAATAGATAAGAAATACTGTGTTTTTAGATAAATTGCTTGAATTTGCTTGTAATTGCCAGATGAAAGTCCTCATATGTAATCTTACAAAAAGTTACGATATTTGGGCGTGCGTAGTGCTGCATTTGTGGGTTACATGATAACACTGTAGAGTGGACACTGCAATGAACTAAAAAAGCAGCACACATAGTTTATTTTTCGTTATTGCAGTAGATTCCTATAATATTTGAAAAACAAGTCAAACGATTAGATTTTGTTTTAAAAAGAGGATGACATTTCTTTAAGACATTTTTTTGACTAGACATTTTGAGACTAGTTTCCAAAATTGGTTAATTTTTCAATTCTATGTTAAAAAATTAAAGAAATTAAAGAATATTATTTACAATTACCGCACCATTTTAAACTAACATTGTTCTTGTAACTTTAAGCATATAATCTCTAATGATTTTGCTTTCGTTAGAAAACTTAAGTTTTTCCAAAAAGATAGTTAGATAAAATTACTTATTATATAATTAAAATAGAAAATATTGTTGAACTATGAAGTATATATTGTATATATGAATGTCAAAGTTTCTCCCTCTTTCTTTCTCAGATAGGAGTAAAACGGAAACTTGGACAATCGAATAAGTAAATTAAAAAGATTATCTCGCAAAACGACTGATTTGTATGATGTAAATTATAATATGTGTATATGTTTAACAGCAATGATAATGTTAACATGAGATATCGATAATAACTTTCATATTGTATTATTATAATGTGAATTATTTTATTTTGTTATTTTTATTTATTGTTTTTTGTGACCATAAGTTTTCAAACATAAAATGTCTCTTAATTTCTGTACATCGATACATCGATAACCGCATTGCATTGATCTGAAATACCTGAAATAAATTTTTGAGGAAGTATGGCAACGTTCTTAATTAGGATTATTAAAAAGTTAGTTGAAAGTTGCTTTATTGAAAAAAAAGGAGAAGACAGAAACTTAGTGGATTATTGATAGAAATTTACAGTTGATTGTACTTACGTATAACAATAAAAAAAAAGACGGGGGAAAAAAATTTGGAAAAACAAATTTCTCCGGTGTGGTGTCTTTGTCTATTCGCATTGTTATAATATCCATTTGTCTCCCTTTAACGAATTTTTCGGTGGCTTATATCGGTGGTACCACAGAAAATAGTGTGGTCGCGTTTTGTGCGGTAAATAGTGTTTTCTCTTTTGCCCGCATTATACAGCCGTTTGCTAACAACGTTAAAGACAGAACGAGTGAAGGAAGTGGCACCGCAATTCCCTTTGTTATATTTTCACACGGCTACATAAGAAAATAGTAAAGTAATTAAAAAGGATTGTTAACTACATTTTTAAATATCACACATGCTCTCTTTTAAAATAATTTAAGATATTAAGAGCGCGGCTAGGCTTCCAACACCTAACGAAAACAGCTTGAGCTCTCGCACGCGTGTTACGGCATAATCGTGAAGTCGTTGTCGATCGTTGTCGCCGGCAAAAATTCTCGTTTGATAAAAAGTTTTTTACGTTATGCGATTAATGGGATCGGCGTATTTAGCAGCGAAATACTTTTAAATTATCAAAAGCGTTTTATTACTTGCTGTTACAACAGCTTCAGTTATTGTCAAAATTCTGCGAAGGACTTTTCTTGCTTATCATCAACTAATAGGAAACTCGCACATTACAGAAGACCTAAAATAAACCGAAGGGCTGTGCTCTGCAATAAACGAAAGGCTTCAGAAAATCTTAAATTGAAGTCATTGGATCTAAGGTGAGTTGGCTAATAAAAATATGTAATAAAATGTTTGACAGTGAAAATCTTCTCTTCTTTCAAAGATGGCACTGATGTGCAAAGTTTGCGTAAATGTAAAATTCTATAACATGTGAATGAAATGTGATTAAATCAAAATGTTTGAAAGTCCTCGTTTGCTCTGTTCGTATGGTTTTCATTGGAAACTGTGCATTTTTAAGAGCAGCTTCTAATGGCTTGACGATGAAAAATTTTTTTTGCCAATTTCAACCCCGTATCACGTTTAGCACCCGAAAAAGAGATAATACAGTAATATTATAATTGCAATCTACTTCTTGTCGTTGGATTGATATTGATTGGTAATGATCGGCTTGGACAAGCGATCGTCTTACACTATGAAAAAAATCAAGGAATCGTGAGTGTTCACACTAATTAGGTTTCTAGTGCTTGGTGGTCCATGTATCATACCAAATGAAGGTGTAAACTTTCGCTTATCCGTTCAGCCGTACACAATTTCCAATTTCGATTTACATAAAAAAAAATAACGTGAACTTAGAAACTAGTGCTAGGATTGAAAGTGATCCTCAAATACGGTTAATAAGAAAATTTGCTACACTGAAATAACTGTTATGCCCAAATAAAATAAATTCTAAATAGTAGTATGCAAGATAGTACTAATATTGTCACCGTCTTTATGAAGTGTGCAAATATAAATTGAACACCATACAAGCAATAAACATTACATCCACTATCAGTGTAACCACTGTCCAGTACAAATTGGTAGAAAACTACTTAAAATTAAATGCAGTTGAAGCTCTAGCTCTAGCGTGCCGTTCCTTTCTAGACTTTGTAACATATGTACCTGAAACTCCTTCAAAGGCGACATTACTTTCAAGCGTTTTACACAGTATTTTGCTATCTTGTTTCACAAATGAGGAAGCAACGTACTCCTAGCGGTCGCGGATTTCGAGAAAAGCCTTCTTTGTAATTAGTTTTTTTGTATTGAAAACTCTCCGCAAGTCTACTTTCTAATATTATAGGAACAGAGTTTTTTTTCCAAATGAGGAAAACCATTGTTTACACTTTCTGTAAACTGATATAAGGTTTTGCGTGTGCGATTAAGTTATATACAAGGTTTTATTTTATATGTTTTATTTACTTTACAGCGCATTCTGTCAGAAAACGTCCAACGTTTGGAATTGTTGGCATACCTCTGAAAAATCGTCTGAAGTTCAGCCCTCAATAGTCGAGCTAGTTTATACAATGACTTTACCTAGTGCCGCTCGTGTCTACACGGACGTGAATGCACATAAGCCGGATGAGTACTGGGATTACGAGAACTACGTTGTTGACTGGGCTAATCAAGACGACTACCAATTGGTGCGCAAATTAGGGCGAGGCAAGTATTCGGAAGTTTTTGAAGCAATTAATATAACCAATAATGAAAAATGCGTGGTGAAGATTCTTAAACCCGTCAAGAAGAAGAAGATCAAGCGTGAAATAAAGATTTTAGAAAATTTACGTGGTGGTACCAACATCATTACTTTGCTGGCGGTAGTAAAGGATCCCGTTTCTCGCACCCCAGCCTTAATTTTTGAACATGTTAACAATACAGACTTTAAGCAGCTGTATCAAACGCTTACAGACTACGAAATACGCTATTACCTGTTTGAGTTGCTGAAGGCGCTCGACTACTGCCACAGTATGGGCATAATGCACCGTGACGTAAAGCCACACAACGTTATGATTGATCATGAGAATCGCAAGTTGCGCTTGATTGATTGGGGCTTAGCCGAATTTTATCATCCTGGTCAGGAATATAATGTGCGCGTCGCTTCTCGTTATTTCAAGGGACCGGAACTGCTGGTCGACTATCAGATGTATGATTACTCTCTTGACATGTGGTCACTGGGCTGCATGTTGGCCTCAATGATTTTTCGAAAAGAGCCCTTCTTCCATGGCCATGATAACTATGATCAATTGGTGCGCATAGCTAAGGTGTTAGGTACTGAGGAGCTTTATGTCTATCTCGACAAATATAATATTGAGCTAGACCCGCGGTTCCATGACATCTTACAAAGGCATTCGCGTAAGCGGTGGGAACGTTTCGTGCACTCTGACAATCAACACCTCGTTTCGCCCGAAGCTCTCGATTTTCTCGACAAACTGTTACGTTACGATCATGTCGAACGACTCACTGCCCGTGAGGCTATGGCGCATCCGTATTTTGCGCCCATTGTTAACGGCCAAATAAAAGCCAATAATCAACAATAGGATTAGCAAGTCTAGTAGTTCTCGCGAACTTCAAACGATAGCATAATATTGGGTGTGAACGAGACCCATAAGCAAAGAAAGCTAATCTTAAGTTATGAAAATGATGGAAAAATAAATAAAATTCATAACAAGTAACCTAGATTAAAACAACAAGAACATTAAATCCTCACCATGATAGAATCCGGATCAGTAAAATCAAGATCTAAATCAAGAGACGATAAAACTTATAAAATAGTTTTGTACAGTGGAAAATTTGCACCCAGTAATATATTTACTTGTGTTTAGAAATATACAAAATATCTATATGAAAGAATAAGAAAAAAAAAAAAAAAAAATCTGTCTCTGACTTTGTACTGCAAGTGAAAAGAATATTAATAATATTAATTCAACAAACTAATATGTACATTAACAATAATAGTTGTAACGAAGACATTGAACAATTTATAAAATAAAATACGAATAACTACAATACATGCACGCACTTTCACATACAGTTTAAATCGGTTCTTTCTACACAAGTACAAACTCATATACTCATAATGTACACTACACTACACATACACATACACGCATACACCCATACACTCATACATCTATACACATGCTATTAAAATCAATCAATACATTCTGATAAATACATGTACTCAAAATTTCTACAACTTATTGTTTCTTGATTTTATTTTTCAAATCTGTTTTCGTTTGTTTTTATATATACATGCTTACATAGATATTTGCAATTTATCTATATTTTGGCTTTTCACAGAGAAACCAAGATGCTTATTTAATAAAGATATATAATAACGATTAACAATAATAAAGATTAAATATCATGAATTGAAACTTACCAAAGGAGCAGAATAAACAATGAATATGCACACACATACGTAAACAGTTTTAAGTAAAAGTTCAAATTACACCCCATTTAGCTTGATTTTGTGGCTAAATACCAAAATAAACGATTGACACTTTGTCGAAATTGTCTTTTAGCCATTTTGGAGAAATCCGTCGTCTTCAATAAGCTATGCCAGAACATTTACATACAGTAATATTCAACTTGTTTATTTGACTTGAAGGTGTTCCGTTGGAGCTGTTGCAAAGGGGTTTTTTCTAAGCAGTTTTTTGTTTTTCTCTCGACTACTATGTCGAGATTTTATTAATCCTAGAAGTAAAAAATGAATAAGTTAACGTAGTTACCGCTAGATCATGGGAGGCTACATACGTATGTACTTTGCGATAGTTTGCTAATTGCTACTGCGTCATTCAACCCTCGCTTACGAAGTTCTTTCCCCTCGTTGTCCTCTCCCCGTTGTAGCTTCTTTTAACGTGCTAGCAAATATTTGTTTGGCCGCTTTTACAAACAGTTTACATAACACAATTGATTTCCGTGTCACAAAAAAATATAAGACGAAAGAAGCAGCGCATCCCATCAAAAAGTTGGTGCAACGCTAGTTTGCCATCGCACCCACTCCGATCTAGAGTTGATTAAATGGGTGTGTGTACGCTATCCAAATCGAAGTTTACGTTTGTGTGGTACGAGTTTTCGAAGTGTTCAACGTATGCTTTCTGCGTTTCTTAAGACGTGAAAATTTCTGTAACATTTTGAAATTCAGCATAAAAAACTTCATCTGATAAATAAAATTTTGAACATAAGACACATCTTCTTGAATTATACCAGAATGCAGGTTGTGTGCGTATGTGTATCGGGAGATGTGGGAGGGCAACAAACAATCTGTTGCCGTTTTTTGTCATGTTATATGCACATACATACATATACATTTATATATATATATATATATATATATATATATATATATGTATTCAGGACCAAAGAGTCGAAAAAGAACCAATGACGAATATCGTATAACTTAAAATAAGTTAGAATTAAAAGGTTCTTTAATTCCGCAAACATTTGACATATAAATAAAGCCCTGAAACGCATTTGCATTTAAATGGGATCGAGAAATGATTTGCTCATACAATCATTTCATAAAATTAGTTTTAGACTTTATTGTAATGAATTTGCCAGCTCCACAAGAGACCCCAGCAGAAATTGCTATGAAAAACGGTCACGTTTTCTTCGCAGATATCAAGTCTCTAATTGTATATGACGTTAGAGCTTGATTTCTTTGAATGGCGAAAGTTATACATAGTTCGTATTCAAATGACCTTGAAGGTACCTCGTCCAAGTGAAAGCTAATTAACTAAAAGATACATAAACAGCGTCCGGATCTTAAATATATAGGTATTAATTATCGTACGGCTTAGTAATTAATTTTATTTATAACACAGTGAAAGTAGACAGGGAACGGATTACAGCTCGCTAGCTGTATGCAGAAAAAAACGAAGGTAGTCACGCCAAACGAGACCTTATTACAAATTTATTCTTTGAGCAAATCGCCAACAACAGACACAAAATTTCAAATGAAACTATACGATTGCTAAGCACATCGGATATATTATTGTTGCTATTACTATTTTTATTATTATTATTAGGTCACAGAAGTAAATTCCGAGACAAAAAGGCGGGATGAGCACCAGCGACCAAGACAGAGTAGACGGCTAGTCTAGTCGCTTTGTGATAAAACTATACATTTTACTGTATTCGTATTAAGTTATCCACGATTAACTTTTCCACGGTGTGCATAGGATTGGACATTCTAAAAACGAGTCTGAACATCGGAGAGCTTTTGGCGGCCAGCTAGTACATGTTTAATCATCAGATGTTCTGTATCGAATATAGTTTTCACAGATGTGCGGCCGTTACATTTACAACAAATTACTTACTTTTTCGTACACATATTTTTATTAGATTCACTTTTCAATTCTTTTCCCCTTTTCACACGTTTTTATACAGCATTTTAAATTATTGTTTAATAAAGTTTCTGAAATTGTTCGCGCGCAAGCAAGTTTCAGATGCAATTTCAAAATGCAGTTCAAATACTTTAGTCCAAATAGTTTCCGAAGCATGCTCTCGAAAGCGCGGTGGTTTACGTACGGCCATCCTTTCCTCGCTTCAAATGTCTACAAGAACCTTGCAGTGTAATTGAATTTGCTGTCATTGTATCTTCATACACATTGAGTTATGTTGGCGGGGATAAAGAAGAAAATTTTCAATCTTTTTTTTTGCTTGTAAATACAAATTCCTCTTGTTCTTCGGTAAATGACGAAATCATTTGTTAACAAATATTGTTTTGCATTTTCATAATTATTAATAGAAATTAAAATTCGATTAATCCGTTTATCGAATATCTAATAACCCTTTTTAGTATATTAATGCGTATCTTTTCCATCATTAACGCTAGACGTAATTTAAACGTCGAACTCATCTGTTGTTTAATGCGTTTAGAGATCCACTTTATTGATGAAGCTCACTTTGCCAATACCGGGTTAAAAGGGATCATTCATTACCTTTGTACAATTGAACGATAACAACTAACTGTAATTACCGGATGCCGAAGTCTCTAATCATAACAAATTTATATAAAGACTACTTTATACAGTTGCGGAAATCGCTTGTTTGATAAAATAAGTCGTTATGAAAATATAATAATCGCAGACAAAGATATTTCACTTCCCCGTAGCGATTAAGTAAAGGCGTCTTATGCCGTCGCCAGTTAACGAAAGTTTGCCCGGAAATGCAGCATGTAAGGGGATTTATAAGGGAGGCAAGGAGGAAATGTCGTATTCGCAACTTGACCTCGTAGATTGGCAAGTAAAGGAGCTGCTCAAGCCGGGCGAAAGTCGGACAAAAAGAACCGAAATATTAGCTAACAATGGCTTTTTAGTTTAAATATTTTTTAAATTAGATACATGGGACAATTTTCTTTTCATTTGTTGCCTATGTATAAATAAATGTGTGTACATATGTATACATATGCTTACGTACCTATTTTGTTTCAGAAAATTTATTTCGGAAAATTTTTTTCTAAATAAAACAAACGGGAAGAAAAAGAAATCCTCGTGAATAATATAAAAAGAAATGCCACCAAAAGCAGCTGCGAAGGCAGGCGCGAAACCGGGCGCCAAATCGGGGGAAAAAAAGAAAAAGAAAAAAGAGCCTGAAGGAGAAGGCTTACCGCCATTGCAAGATTCGGAGACGTCCTTACAGGAACGAGAAATTGATTTATTGCAAGATCTCAATGAGGAATTCTTTGGGAAGGCCAGTAAAGTGAGTGCGATATTAGATAGATTATTTTTTACTTAAGCATGTAGGGACCTCGAACTAATTAAAAAGTCTCGTAAAGCTTATACAAAATTTAATGGAAAGGGGGCGTATCTTTGAAGCTTCCAAGATTAAAAAGTACTCAGATCTATTGTTCAAAGTGCATCGCAAGTATTCCGAGGAAGTCCGTAAGGTAGAGGAATTGCAACCGTTGATAGGTCAAGCGGAAGAGAAATTGCGTTTAGCTTTGGAATTGACGGCCAACTCAGAAGAAACAATGCAGCACTTAAAAGAGACTTTAGGTAAGCGAAATAAGCAAGCGTTTGCGCCGTCAATAATGTTGTTAATATAAATAATAGGCGATGCTTGGCGAGAATCTGATGCATCGCTGTATCGCGAAGAAGAAATTCAGGAAAAACTGCAGGAAGTGCTGTTGAAGTGCGAAAGCTTTGAAAGCAAAGAAGCTGAGAAACAAGACGATTCTGCCGAGTAATGACGACTTTTCAATAGCATCCGCATATATAAATTATTTTTGAATTATTCAGATTTGGTCATTTGGCAAAATACAAAAATATAATTTTGAGAGAGCGAGATCGCATTAATGGCGAAGTTATTGATCTTGAAAAGCGTTTGCAAATGCAGAGATACTATTCCGAGTCTCTGGAGTATATCATACGCAATAATGAGGATACTTTAACTAAGACCTCGGCTACAGTAAAGGTTTTGGAGTCAGAAAAGCAAAATCTGGAATCGAAGCTGCGTGCGCTTATGAATAACGCGGACGAGCAAAAGGAGATGAACGCGAGGCTATTACATAAAATCGATTTATTAAATCGAGAAGTAAGATGTGAATAATTTATTCACCTCATAGAGGATGTTCACGAAAATCATGTTCATTTTTAGGTGGGCGACACCAATCTAAAGTTAACAAAGAAAACTGCGGATCACGATCGTATGAAACTTATTGTTGAGAAATTTCGCGGCGATAACACCGTGCAGGCGAAGACGATAGTAAAAAATGAAGAGGAAATTGCCGAATTACATAAGGAGGTGAAGAAAAGTGATGAAGTTATTAAAGCGCTACGGTTAGAGGATAAAGCCAAGGCTCACAGCATAACCCAGCTAAACAATAAATACAAAAAAGCCCAACAAGATCATAGTTCCGTTTCGTCCAAATTTTATAAAATTAATCGGGTGAATAACTCTTTAAACGAGGAAGTTGTCCGCTTAAAGTAAGTTTTATTTATTTTATTTACTTCGTAAAAAATTGCAAAAAAAATTAAATAAAAATGTGTTTAACATAACGCAAGAAATCAAGTGAACTCTTTGGAGAAGGGAATAATGATCTCGGGTCAAAAGTATGACGAACTTAGGCGTCTAAAAGATAATGTGACTAGAGAGCGGGACAATCTGCGCAGCGATATTGTGAAACTGAATAATCAAATTGCCGATCTGAAGCATACTATTGTCATCCAAAGTAACAATATTGACAATTTGCATTTGGATATCAACAAACTTAACGTCAAACTGGACGAGGCCAAAGTCAATGTCGCGAAGGCTGAAAAGGAAAGAGGTGAAATGGCGCAAGAAATGGAGACTTTGCATGAAAAAATTGAATATTTCCAAGGTATGGATAAAAATAATGAAAGGACAGGACTTCTTTGGCGCATTACATGAACGTTTAATCATACATTTAGAGCAAATTCAGTTGAAAAGCAATCAAGTTACGGATCTCACCGAAAAGCTGCAACAGAAGCATTTCGCTTTAATTAATATGAAAAAACAATTGGAAGCTGTCCACTCAGAAAAAATGATCTTGCAAAGAAATTTGGAAACCTGCACGCAAGAAAGAGATAACTTCAGGGTGTTGCAAACGGTGAGTATTAACATCGACAGCTTCCGACTGCGTTCACACGAGCTGGAGAGTTTGCAAAATTTGCTAGCTTCTTAGTGCTAGGGACTGGGCTGCAAAAGATTGCGAGGTGCTTCCAAGTGCACGCCTCATATAAATCCCCTAAAATGAGAAGCAAGTCAAACGACAACTCTTTGCGTAAATAGTTTCACGTTATATAGAATAGCATTCTATTTAGACCAGTGCGAAAGCTTTTTCTTTCGCTAGGCTTTGCTAGCGAAGTTTAAAAAAGTTATTTAGAGAAAATTCTTTACTAGGGTGTAACTTAACCGTGCCGTTTAACTGTGCCGACCTCTTTAGCGACTCGAATACTCGTAAAACATAGTGCATGTGTAGTATGAACGGAAGGAAGTTTGTCATGGAACGACTTGGCAAAACGATAAAAATACTTTCTAAAATACTCTATTATGACAAATATACATTCATGTGGATTAATGGGGAAATCCGACTGGGACACATACACGGATCGCAACGTATATTCTCGTTATATACAGTTAACTGGCAACACAAGATATATTATTGGGAGTTTATAGATAGAAATATATGTTTGCATATTTTTTTTCGTAGAAAACTTCACATCAAATAACTCAACTTACCAACGAAATCTCAGCTAATCAAAATAAGATAAACTCATTGAATTTGCGGATTGAACGTTTAAATAACGATAAAAAAGATCTGCAATCTGAACTGAAGAACAAAGAGAACATGTTGTCGAGTGCTAGGAAGGAATTGAAGGATGTGAAAATTAAGAATGAACATCTTCTGAAAACCATATCGGACGACGAATTGAAATTTATGAAATTATCGCAAGAACTGGATGAGACTAGAAAGGAGAAGAATTTAATTGGCTTGCAGATGGTACGACGTAATGATGAAATCATTTTGCTCAAAGAGAAATTGCAAATAACACAAACGGCTCTAGACCAAGGTCAGTTTCTTTATTAGACGTAGACGAAAGATTCTATAAATTCATAAATAAATATCTATGTGACTGCCTGTAGGACAAACACAGTACAATCAAAGAGTGGAGGATATACGTTTATTGAAAATGGAATTGACTAACTTGCAGACGGAGCGGGAATGTTTATCGCGCGCCATAAAGAGTACGGCTGATATGCGTGAAGAGATTATACGTTTGCAGCGAGCTTTAAATCAAGAAAGGGTCAGAGTACGCTCGCTAACTGAAGACGCCAAAACACCGACAGGTGTGCATCGTTGGCGTATCCTGAAAGGCGAAGATCCGAACAAATTCCAATTACTGGCCAAAGTCCAAATGTTGCAAAGGTTGTAGCAAAACTAAAAAAAACATGCATTTGTTGAAATCATTTTTTTTTCCCAGACGCAATCTGAAGTTAGAGATTGAAAAAGTCAATGTCCAACAGCAGCTGGAAGAGTCGCGCAAAGTTTCTGATTCATTAAAACGAGTAATTGAAAATATGCCCTCAAATAACGTCAAGCAAAAGCTTGTAGAAACTCAGGTATTTATTATTCGAATCAAACATAAATTTGACTTATGGTTGTTCGTTGTTGAATTAGCGTATTAGTAAGGGGCAATTAAGGAAGCTGAAGGCCCTTAAGTCTGAATTATTTATAAACAAAATCGAAATGAAAGCTCGCGAATGCATTATCGAGGAATTTAAGGCGACTCTGAAATTAGCTAAGAAAGAAATATGCGAAATCGACGTGCCACCCAGCATGGAAAGTGTGAAACCTCCTAGCGAACCTGGTGCCGACAATTTCGTCGACTGTGTGTTTGCGGACGAGGCTGAACCGCAAGATATAGACATAGACGAGGATCTGAATTAACAGATATATGAATTTTTTTTAAAATTAATTTAACATTAAAAAGGTTAAAATGCGAAAACCTTTTATATGTTTGTGCCTATTTTTTAAAAAAATTATTGAATGCATGTACACATATGCATGGGTTCGTTCTTATGTATATGTAACTGCGTATATATGTGTACATGTATTGTTATGTGTATTTATATAAATATATTTATACCGACAAATATCTATATACAATTACATGTATGTATATAAATATATGACTATATGAATATATTAACATATTAAAAAAAAACACACACACACACGAATATATTCGTCTTTTATCGAGTCTTTCATTCCCAACACTTTTATCTGGAAAAAAAATTAAAAAGAAAGCAGAGGTGCTCTCAATCCTTTTTCCCTTGTACCGGTCTGACCGGTCTGGCCCGTCTGGCCAGCCTGACTGTAAAATCTGTATTTGCGACTTTGCGATTGACAACTTTATTTCTGCGATCGGAAACGCGTTGATCACCAGACATTTGCAGAGACCAATAGTCGGTTCGGCAGATAGGCTTGATCGACTCACAATTTAGTATGCCGATCAAGGGTATGTGTAGTTTATAAGATCATTGAAATTTTGTTTTTTTTTTTCATATATCAAACCTTTTGAGAAAAGAAGAATGCCGCCATGTTCCGGTGATATAGAAACTGTCGACTAACTTTATTATTAAAATAATTAAATATTAAATGATTGTTCTACTTTTTACAGTCTCATTATTAGTCCGATGTGTTTCTAGCTGGGGCGGTGCTGACAAACATTCAACTTGCATTTGCATAAGCGCTTGTCGTTCGTTACGCTTCCGTTCCTCTAGCAATTGTTGCTTAAGTTTAGTCAAATTTATTTTTAAGCCTTCGATTTCTTGGTCTTTACTTTTCTCTTCAATTAGCTTGGCATTGATTTCAGCCATCAGAGATTTGAGCTTCTTATCTTTGCGGGAAAGTGCGGCCTGCAATGAAGAAGCGTTGAAATGCGATAGGAATAGGATAGTTGATCTCTGAATTATTAAAACGCATATAAGAAATATACTTTAACACGGTTGAGCTCCTCTTTTATTTTTATGCTTGGTAATTTTGACATGAATTCTTTTAAAGCATCATACAACGCCTGAGATTCTTTGAGAGCTGTGTTTTGTCTTAGGGCAGCTATGTTTCGGCTTAAGAGTTGCCTGCAATAATGAACAGGAAAATGAATCTGTCAATAAATAGAAAGTGCAATCAAGAAAGAAAAATTTCATTCGTATTGAACAACTAATGGAGTCTTCTACTTTTTCATTAATCTGGACATAGAAGCTGTTTCCTTGGTTTAGTCCAGCTAAACTCGATGTCCAAAGAAAAAAGGAGAACAATTAGTAGCTCAGTATAAATAAAATATGAAAATACTTTTGATAGCTTGTTTAATAAAAGAATTTCCACGACCTCCATTTTGACGTCGATTCTTCCTGAATTGAATTTCTTGGAAACGTACGAAAGTTTCTAAAGATGTAACAGTAAAGCAGTAAGAAACAACATTTCATCTCCAAATGACAAGAACAAGCCATCTGTTAACTGCATTATTGCTCAAGAAAAGAACCTCGTGTTCACACTGAACCTTTCTTACTCAACTCAGCGAGTTATCCGTTGTTGATTCACTGACTCGCAGAAGTAGAAGAAGATCAGTGTCAGAATTTTTGAAAAAAATGATGTTACAAGAGATGAGTCTCAGCCTTGGCGGCGGGATTTCGGGGTTTCGGAAACTAACAATAATTTCGTACCTGCGCTACGACGAAGACGAAGTTGTCGGTGCGAGAAAAGATAATCTTTGGTGCGGTTAAGTCGAGCTTTCGCGCCACGATTAGATGGATGTTTTAAAGGTTATTCAAAACTTTGTCCTCGAAAGGGAATAAATGAAGTGAAATAAAGCTCAAACTAATTGCACCACTTGCGTGGATTTAATAGAAAAACAGGGGTTAAAATAAGATTTAATTGCCCGGCCGCTCGACAGTTATTTGTAGTGAGGGTTTTGCGAGTTCCATCTAAAGTAATCGTAGTTAGTGTTTGCTTACTTTCTTAAACTTTGAATTTGTTGGATGAGGTCGCTCTTCTCCGGATCTTTGCCTTTGAGACTGCGCCATCGATGTACATTCATGGGCGTTAGCATTTCCTCCTGAAAAGCTCTTGCTTTTATACGCTCCTGATTTAGAAGTCGATGCATTTGCAAGACTTCCTGTCTCAGATCTGCTGCTACTTCTCGATCTTTTCGCAGTACATCCCTTTCAGTTATTAAATTTTTTATTTCCGTCCTCATCAAATTCATTTCGTCTTGATAACACACGACTTCATTCTGTAATTGGTCGTGAGATTTTTGTAAATTTCTGATTTTTATATTCAGCTGATTACAGTTTTCCTCGCTCTTTGACAGTTCGGAATGAACGGAATTTTTCTCGTTCACTAAAGCGTCCGATTCTCTTTTGAGACGATCTACGATTTTCAGATCTTGCTGTTGCATTTTCGCGTAGTTATCATTCTCTTTCATCTTCTCTGAAAACTCATCTTTGATATGTTGTTCACTTAGTTTCGCTCCACGCAATTCATTTTTCAACAGTCTGCGTTCCTTTTCCATTTTGTCGATCTGTACTTGCAATTTACTGATTTCCGAATCACGATGCTTTAGCTTTGCTTTCAGACTTTCGTTTGTATTCTGTAGATTTTCCAAGCAAGTTTTTAATTTGGTTTTGCCTTCACTTAAGGCTTGGATATTGCGCTGTAGAGCGTTGTTATCGTTGGCCAGAGTATTGTGTTGTGTTTGAAGTTTTACGCAATGGTTTTCGATATCACTGATGGTTCGTTTTAGTTCTAACTCGTAAGACTTATGAATCTGAATTTTGCCTAGAAAATGTTTGAAATGAAATTTTGAGAATTTTAAAAATGAAGAAGTAAAGAAACAGTTATTTATCACCAACTTTGTAGGGAATCAATTTTATCGAAAAGATTTTGCGTTTCTTCTGATTTTTTTGCTTTCGCTGCATTTAATTGCATTAGTTCGTCCAAGAGTTTCGAGTATTTCCGCTCTTGTAAGAGCTGAGTGTCCTTTAGCGAGCGGATCTCGTATTGGGCCTCGCTAGTCGCTTTCTGAGATTCCTCATTGCATTTGTGCTGCAGCAATAAGTCTCTTTTCAGATTATCCCTCTCGTTTGTAAGTTGATAATTATTCCTCTCAAACTGTTGCAATACGCGCCTCGTAGCTTCTATTTCCTTATCCTGAGTACTTAACTGAGTTCTGAAAGAATGAAATTATATTAAAGAAGACTAATATTAGACGTCAGAGTTATGTTTTAGGCTTCATTGACTTTAGTCTGAGGTTTTGTTGCTCAAATTCTTTTTTCGATTTGTCCAACGCTGTATACTTTCTGGATGCAGTATCTTGCAGTTTAGTTAGCTTCGAGTTCTCATGCTTGCATTTTATAATTTCTTCCTCTCGTACCTAAAATCACAGAACAGCGTGCGGTATACGTATAATTAAAGGAATTATGAATAGGGAGAGACATTTCATACTTTAAGTAAATTCTTTTTCTGATTTAAATCCATTTTGTGTTTATCTCTCTCTTGCATGGCGTACTCATAATCGACTGTTATTTTAGCTAATTTATTGCATACACCATTGTAAACTGTGTTCAAGTGCTCCATGTTGGTCTTCAAAGATAATATTTGTAAATTTTGTCTAACTTTCATTTTGGTGAGCTTTTCGTTTTGTTGCTTGAAAGTCGCGATTTGTTCTCTACACTTCAATTCTTCGCCTTGCAAGAGTTCCAAATCTTTAGTCAAAACATCTATGCGTTTTTTATGTTGATAAGTCTCTCCCGAAGTTTCCTACAAGAAATTCCTCAGACATATATACATGTTGTCGAGAAGACGGTTAATATGTATGGTTTGAATTTACATCTAACGATTTGATTAAGCCTTTATTTTTCTCCTCCATAGTTTTATTAGCAATTTCTAGCTCGCTCGTGTAATTGCGTTGTATTTGCAATCGTTTCGTCAATTCTCGTATCTCCGTTTCGAGTTTTTCGCGTATTTTCGTTTCATTTCGTTTTCTGCGTAAAAAGAAAAAATTTATTATATATTGTATCGCAACGACGAGCAATTGTTCAAGTCTTACTGCCTTAGAGCAGCTCTTGTGTCGCTTAAGGTTTTAATTGATTCCTGCAGCTGTTCCGTAGTCTCTTTAAGCCGCGTTAATTCCTCTTGCGCAGCTTGTTCTCTGAGATGCGCGGCATCTTTTTGACGCCAAATAGTTTCTTGAAAATTAATAAAACGACATTCAATTTTATTATTCAAACAAGACTTGTGCCTGAAAAGATTATCTATGCAATAAATCGCATAGACTCCAAAAGCAGATGCCGCAAGTTTCTGCCAAAACTAATCAAAATTATAAGTAAATTGAAATATGATATAAACTTTTAAAAAAGTTCGTTGCTTTTAATATTATCGGAGCTACGGTCTCGTGCGACGACTCCATCTTGAGTGCTTTCTTCAGAATCTTAATTTTATAAAAGAGAGCAGTTCTGCATATCTATATGCTTTTACTTTTCTAATACTTGCAACCTTGAAATGATCATATTTTGAACTATATAAGTACATGAAGCGGACGAACAGGTTGACGCAGTGAATTAAAGGGACATGTGACGGTGCATTGATTGATTGCTGGGCGGCTATTAGCAACTTGCGCTGATTAGCGCGAAGAACTAATTGTGGAAATGTATGTTTCGTCGCAAAATAAATCCTGCTTAAGTCTAGAGATGCAGCAAAAATAATTACGAATCGTTTTAATCAGCGCATAAAATGATTTTGTATGTTCTTGTGTGTGTGCGTGTGTGTATTCTCTCTTACCTATAACCTGTTTCAGTTCGGTTATAGTAGCTTGATTTAGTTCATTTAATTCCTGGGCCTCGTGCAAGCGACCATTTAAACCATCAATCTTCTCTTCCAAGTCCTGGCATTTCACACGTTCCAAATTGTAGTTTACCCTGTAGCGATTGCAACAAATGTAAAGCTTCTGAACGTTATCAGCACTGCTTTGGGAATCCTTTTGCCTAAGGATTTTGGTGATCTATGAAAAGGAACGGAACATTTGGAGATTAAACTAAAAGTGAGCAAATAATCCTTTTCACGTATACTTCGGGTACTCTGTTCACTAATTGTTTGTAAAATTGGTCGTCGATAATATCGGGCACTAACGGCTCATCTTCAGAACCGGATCCTTTGGAATTTGCACTTTCATCCATACTTTAATATCGTTTATTTAAAATTTGGAATAATTTTACAAGAAAAACTAAATACGCCAACCTTTTCAAGTATCGATATAACAATTTTTATTCTTAGCAACACCAGTAAGAGAAACACTTGAGCTTTGCTGAACCAAAGAGAAACATGAGCGAGTCACGTCACCTGTTGAGATTTCTCAATATTGCACAATGCGCACATACACATATGTGTATAAGAATTCTACAAATTCACATATATGCGGAATCTTCTAAGTTTTAAAGAAATTGTTCGAATGCTTTTGCAAAAATCCACCAAAAAACTCCGGCACATTTCTTTGCCTTACAGACTACAATCATTTATTATGAAAGTCGTTATACGACCATCCACTGTGGAAACGAGCCTACGGAAGTTAATATTTTTGTTCCTAATAAGAGAAACAATTCAGTTTTTGTTGAAAGGCAAAGTTTGTCTTGTGGGTCGCGCCATAAATGTAAAACCTATAGGAAGCTGTACTGTGACCAGACTTGTGCCGTTCTTCACTTCATCCCCCATCTATTGTAATTGTTAGTTATCTCGATAAAGGATGAAATCGTATTGGTCTGAACACATTTCTTGTTTCAACGCAAGCTAATTGTGGGTAAAAGAAAATTCGTTTCAAACCGCATAAAGCTTCTCTCTTGTCCATGTTTGTATTTCTTGTCTGTATTTTGCCATTAAAATTTTCTTTTTACCGGTTTTGATTGTATGTCTTTTAAACTCTATTTCTTTCGATTACATGCGCATTCAACCACTTTTAGTTTCAATTTGGAGACACATGGACGCAGCTGTAACATGCAATCTGGGTATATGCATATACGTGCGTGCGCGCGTATTCAGTTCAGTTCAGTTTTGTTTTTTGTGCTTAATTTTTTACAATTCAAATTTAATTAAGTAAAAAGTAATGAAGTGAATTAGAGGAAAACTTTTCATTTTAAATAGATTTACGAAATCTAATGCTTTTTACTGCCCATTGTTGCAAATATGTAGAAAAATTTCCAAGTGTTACTGAGTGAGTGTGTATTTGTGCGGTGTGATTGTATTGTGAATGTAATTTAAATTTTTTCAATTATAAGACATTTATTGGAGGAGAAGAAAAACGTGATTAATTATTTTTGCACGCGTGTGTATGAACAAGTGTATGCGAAGAATGGCTCCAAAAAAAATATCTATACCGAAACAACAACAATTGACTTTGGACATTCAGATGATTAAACGTCATTTCAGTTGGTCGGAGGCTATGTAAGTTGACTGAACTCATTTCTTGCGTTTGCCGTTTAGTGTAACAATGACAATCCCATCATTTTTCAATTATTATTAATATAAATATGAATCGAATGAAAACAAAAACAAGTGCAAAACGCTTTGATGCTTGTTTCTATTGATGCTTAATGAACATGGACATACTGCGATCGTATCGCAAATATAATATGTAATGTTGATGAAAACTTCGCCCTTTGCAGTTGAACTTCACACAAAGTTAACATTTATTCACAATTGCACATAATCGTTTGTACGGAGGTTATTATAGAACTTACACAGACTAAACCACATTATTAAGCCAGTTAGCCCCTTGATGACTTAGCAGATTTCTAATGAGTATTACTACACTTTACCCGCCCTTGACAAATCTTCATGTACCCCTGTGGCAAATATATCCGCATATAACTAAACTCTGACTTCGTCGCTGATCATGAATGTTTTACTTCAGTGTCGTTTATGTGTATTTCGCAGTGCCACAAACGGAACGATGAATTTAGCATACGCCATCCTTGAAAATGCGCCGAGGAAAATAAAAGGAAATTAAGTTTTCAAAACATCTACATTACGCCGTTACCTATACACTTTGTTATTGTATGATAGATATTTTTTGTTTATTTTGAAATGAACTTGAACTACAACTTTCAATACCCGCAACGGGTCTTACGAAATCTTATAGCATTCCTATAGTAAGTTAGCTAAAAAAGAAGTGCTACATTTGTATTCGTAAGTTATACGTTCATTAAAATCAACATCATTACAAACATTAGGCTTTAAGTTACACAAATGCGATTTGTTTTAATTAAAAATTTTTAGGGCGAATTTTTGTGAAATCTATATGCAGTACCTCTGTGTGGCTCTGAAGGGTATTGATTTTATGTCATTAACGTCGCACCAGCTTACACTTAACTTTGTGCAATGCATGTTATTTGGTTTAGTACTTTTGATTCTATTGTAAGCAGGAAAACTGTATGAAATGTTTGCATAAATTACTTTTCTCAAAGGAGAAAAATTTCGAAATTTTCGAAAATTTCCGTATACACCATACATATAAATGTTACTTAGGACTTGATAAAATTAGTTTATTTTTGATTAATTTTGAAAAACGTTTCCAATTGATGGCAATTGTAGTGACTGTCTTTCCCTTAAGAGACTACCCAAATGACGTGAACGTTGGTGTTGAGAAAATATTTAAAAAAAATATATAAATAAATAAAAGTTAATTATTGTGCGTTTAAACAAATTTTCAACTGTAGAGTACGCAAAAAGCTTCCCATGTCTATGAGTTTGCTAATACATATATAGTGAAAAAGGCTTAGAGAGCCAGAGAAAGAAAGATCAGGAAAGCTTTCACTTAAGAGATGTAAGAGATAATTGTTTTAACGATCTTTTCTTTTAAATCGCTAAACATGATGAAATTAAATTAATATTTGCATTAAAAAGCAAATTTTACTTTTAATTATATCGTGTAATGGGAAAATACTCATTTGAACATATCCAAGAATTTATGCATGGAGTAATACGATACATGCGTACATCGAAATGAAAAAAGCTTACTTTTGTTTACAATACAACGACAACACATAATGACAAACAAAAAAAAAAAAAAAAAGAAGAAAAAAAAAACATTTTGGAGGTCGTATGTTTTGTGGTTGGTTTTGAAGTTGCAATAATGGGTTTTTATTGTTTTACATTTTTCGGTTTAAGTGAACGGCTAGTTTTCGTTGTTTACTTTGATTTCAACAACAATCGATTATTTTGTGTAACTTTGTTAAACTAAACTTAAAGCTGGCAGCCTCGGCGTGGTTAGTCGTGATTGTACAATTGAGCGGAAAGGTCGTTAAATTTATTTCGGAGCGCTTTAACAGAGAAGCAAACAAACAAGATTCGTTTTTCTTTTGGTAAAACCGAAAGCGGTAGTACAGAAAACACAGGAAAACCGACGACACAATTATAGAAAATGAAATTTTAAATTTATATGAACGTATTAATGCCACCACTATTACAAATAATGTAATTATGAAGCTATATTTAAGCTTCTTACGCGTCTAGTGTACACTGTGTCACTGGAAAAATTGTGTGAGCTTCACGTTTATTGAGCAAAAGTTCATGATAGCGTAAAGTGAGAATTTAGTGAAACAGCGGAAAACATAAAGCGAGAAAAGGCATTACCTACAAATACTAAAAAATTTGCACACACACACACACAGACACATACGCACACACACACACATAGACACACACACATATACACACAAACGCGCGCACACATGTATGCATTACGAGTTTGCAAAACAAAGTTAACGTCGCTGCCGCCGTCAATTACCACATGTCGTCGAGATCGCTTCGAAGCCAATATAAAGATTTAGTAACATTTCGTCGTTGTACTGGATTGTTTGGCCTGTGAAGCTTGTCCCTTGCGTGAGAGAGAAAACAAATTGAAATAAGTAACAAGTGCAAAATCTAATAGAGTTGAAATAAGTATAAAAAATGTTTTGAAAATTAATTAAAGATTACGAAAGAATTTCACAAGTGGTTTGATGAGCTTTAATATTATTTCAAGTTTGTTACCCAAGTCTTTCGTTTCGTTTAAAAAAAACGAAGCAATTATTTAAGGAAAATTTATTACATAAAAAAATAGTTTAATAATTAATAGCAACGAGAAAAAAACTGCCAAAAAAAAAAAAAATTTATTTAGGAAATTAAGAAAATTATAATTAATACAAAAAAGTATTACCTTCGCATATATGTTAAATTAATAATAATTTTTAGGAAAAAATATCAAAGCTTTTCGTTTTTAAAGCAAAAAGATATGTTCAAATAAGAAAGTGCCAACGCTAAAGCTAACTTTAAAAAAGTGGAATAAAAAATAAAAAACAGCTTAATAAAGAAAGAAGTCCGCCGAAGACAAAGTAAGTAACGAACGTTTGACCAAATGCTTGAAAAATTTTAAATAAATGAGAATATCCAACAGCTAAATGATTACTCATTTAAACAGTACAAATAAAAAAAAAAAATAAAAAAAATTTCTAAGGAAAACAAGTTTGCATACTCGATGCCTTCCAAAGTTCGATTCGATAAAAGATAAACTTAAAGTGATTAATTTCGAATGGAGATGATCGCCAGCATTTTTCGAAAAAAAAAGATTGTTTCGTTACACCCTGGGCGCATACAAATTGCCTATTTATAGTTTTCAAAGATAACGCTGAAGCCAAAGAATGCCCAACATTGCACACATATTCGAACATTTCAATTGAAAACAAATACGTTGCCCCTGGATGGTACGAGCTATTTGCACACCGAAGTTTTGTAGATTATTAGAGAAACATTTTCAAGTGCTCGTTGTCTCGCTTTTATTTTCAAAACTAATTTATGGACTTCAACTAAGAAGATCTTTACGTCCAATCGCTTATTGTCTATATCGTTTTTATGACGATTCTGAATTTTACGACCATCAAGAACGTATGCATTTCGAGGGCAATCTGTTGTGAACCTATGGGCGTTACCAACGAAATGCCAAACTAATATGCGACCACCCTTCAATAAATATTAAAAAGTAGTATTCAGGCTAAGGTTAAATTTTTATTTTTTTTTTTTTTGTTTATTTCGTTTAGGCAAACCTATACCACTTTGTTGCGCCTACAATGTGAATTCGTGTAAATTAACTAATACCATGTACTTGTGAAATGGCTGTCATTAAAAGAATTGAAGAAAGATGTTTCTCTTTTTTCAGACATTGAACAATTCAATGGGTCATAACTGAAAAGTAGATAATATTTCTCTTGCGGAGTAACTGGAATCTTGACCACTGACACATTATCCTCTTCACAAATTGTATGTAATCAAGAATTGCTTCATATTCACCACTTGTCGGATAGGGTTCATTAAACACATATCGCCATATGGGATCGAGAAAGACTTACGATAGATCGATCCATCTTTCTTTATCGTTTTGCAACTTTTTATTCTTTACTGATAATGGAAAACTAGTTCTCTATACTTTCGGCGCAAGCTACGCAATTGTTTCTCTAGATAATATTTCGAATCGCGTTCGGTAATTTAAACATCTTCATTTCAGTGAATTTCTTAATCCACTTAAAAACATTGTCAGCAATATTTTTAATAAGATTTGCTTGTTGCTAATCAAATCCTTTTCAATGTAATGTTGTGATATGCACTCAAATATGCGCCCCGAATTCCCAACAACAACTTTAATGCGCTTTAAAAGCACTCATAGAACTTTATATTACGTTCGCAGTTATTTAAGTACATTATAATTTTTCGAACGTTAAAATGTTTTTAATGCGGAATTTGTTTTGTAGGATTTGTAGGATTTTGTAGTTGTATTACAAAACAGGACGTTTTCAATAGCACTTGAAAAAAAAATTGGACTTTTAAAGAATATATCACTGATGATCTACATGATACAGACTTTGAATTACTTATTAAAGTTAATTAATGAATGAATTGATCACGCTGTCATAAGACTTACGATATTTGCAGTCAAATATGATCTTACGATATTCAAAAATTTCGATATCTTGAAATTCTAGTATTGCGATATTTCGGAATTTTTTTGATACTTCAATGCTTCAATGTGATGAGCTGATATGCTGCTTCTTCTGCACTCCAATATTTCGATGTAGAAATATTTCGATGGCATCGTGTTCAGATAATCAGACGGTCTGTTCTTTACCGATATCACGAAGTGTGATGATATAACGGTAAAGTTACATTCCAAAATTAATTCGATTAATTCATTAAAATAAAGGCGAGGAGTTGAAACCTAACAATAAAATACCTAGCGAGGATGCTAATGTGCGGCTTTGTGCTAGACTGAAAGTCAACGCAATATAGTTCGAAACGTTAAAAAACAAATGTAAATTTACGTAGAAGCTAAAAGAATTTGGGGAAAAAGCCGTGAGCTCCACTTCCGTTTGATGAATAACCCAAAGGCGTTATCGAAATGATTTGGTACTTGACTTACTTCTAACTTCCGTATGCGATGTTTTTGTGTGAATAAATATGTATTTTTTCTAACACTGCTGGACGACTGAAGGTCGACGTAAACGCTGACGACTTCTAATTTATTACCTATCGAAAGAAAGACGGCTTTTAAGTTCAAGCAAAGTGCAAAACTCATTTAAACTTTTTTTTATTATAAAACTGGAAGCAAGAGCATAAAAAAATTACTTTGTACTATAATAAGTATAGTATAAGATTAATCTAAAAGTGAACTCATTCAGTGTGCAAATGGGTTTGTTTTCAGTTAATTTATTTGTTTTTGACGCGACGGGGGTGCTTGTGATAGGTTTTCTTGTTGCAGTTGCCCTATGTTTTGTTTAGACGACGCAGAAATGAATTGTTTCACATTGCATCCAGTTGAGGTTTACCGTTAGATTGTGAAACAATTCAGACTAAGTTTTTCTGATAAAACTCGCAATTGCGCTACAACCATTCAACGCTTGTTATAGCTGTTCTGGTAAATGATAGCTTAAAAGCTTGTTGAAAAAAAATTGCAGTTCCCTCCTCACAACAGGATAGCAATGCACGAAATGAGAAGAACTCTGCTGTCGGGTAAACGGGAAAGTCGATTTTGTATAAAACTTATCGATTACTTATCCGCCTAAATGGCCGAACAGGCAAAGGATCTCCACTAACAAGTTTCTTTTAATAGTTACCTGCAAATTTCGAAATTATTTTCAACGAACTTCCACTTATTTTTCTGTTTCCAATTATCCCATATAACTATTTAGTTCACTTAAGAACTCGCACCGTGAAATGTTGAAATTTCTTTGATTTCTCCCTGCTGGCTGTCTTTTCTTTGGTTGCAGTTTTGTTTGACAAAGAATTGCCTTCAAAATATGATAGCACCAGACGCGTTTCTGAAGTAGACGCGGTTTTTTCAAAGCGGAAGCGTTTTCTGTTAAAGTGGACGCAGTTCTGTCAAAGTGGACAAATTTGTATGGCCCTTCATTTATATGCTAATTGGAAGAAAAGTTAAAGAGAGAATTATGGAGAGAAATCTACAATACTATCATCAGCACTGCTCTTCTTATAAACCTCAATTAATTCCATGTCTAAATCCAACAAATATTGAGAAAATCAAGATTAAAATATTTTCGAGAATTCGCCTCGGCCATACATCCTTCCCCAATCTACAATTGTGAACAAATTCTGACTATAAAACACCATCCTTGCGGCTGCCTTAACTTAACCGTAGTGAGAATGTTGCATCGCTCCTTAATGAGTATGTCACATCACTCCTTGTAATTTTACATTAAGGAAATATCTCAATTCCTAGTTAGACAGTGTACGGCCGGCTAACTACAGCTTATATCTAATCAAAATTTCCTTTTATTTGAAGACTTTTTCAATGCATTAAATGATTGCAATGCCAGATGATGAACGCAATGCGTAGTGATGTTTTTCAAGTATTTGTAAACTTAAGATAATTTTATTCAAATTTATTACTTACAGAGTTATCTCAAAATTATTTTTGTAAGCTACTAAAAGTTTACAAAACTGTATTTGTAATCAATTTGTTTAATAATACCAATACTTTGAGTTTAACTTACCACTAGAGTGATTGTTCGGATTGTTCGTACGAAAAGTTCTTTATAAGGCCGCAGTAGGACATATACTGTTGCGTAAAACTCGCCCTTTAAGTCTAACTCACTGAAGTAGGCTCTCGTCGCGGGATTTTGCTTTTATAAGACCATAGACTTATTTACAGAATCTAGAGGTTTAACATTTCGCAATCCTTCGACACAATTCAGTTCACACAAGCTCGCTTGATCAACTCTACTATCGTGAGCAAATTTCATATACAAAAGATTCGGGTTTTCCATAATTAGTCGACAACAATGTATCGGTACGTGGAAAATGCCAAAAATCGGTCACGTCCAGGCTTTATTGTAAAGTATCAAGAACGAATACTTCCGGTTTGGTTGGGCGTTTTTTAAAGCAAAGGCGGTGGATGTAAAACCGCAAGCTCTGTCGATCGGTAGCGCCGTTCGCATTTCAAAAGTGCGAATGTAACCTCGTCTGTTAACGACGTTCTGACAATTCTCGGCGAACGGTTTTCAACTTACGTTTTCGCTTTCATTTCAAACGACATATGGTGGTGTGTTCATGAGATGTTGCTATTCATGAATCCCGTTCCATTTTCCGCATGCATTACACGTATAGGTGTATATGTTATGTCTAAGAGAAACATATATGCATTTTCCGATGACATAATTCCCCAAAATTTATTTGTATAAGTAAGTGTAAGCAAGTTAATAGTAAACAAGTATGTGGTTGAAGTCGGATTAAATTATGTCGCGACATAGTGGCCAAAAAAATACTCAGGAATGAAAACCTACGATATAAGTTGAGTTTATGCGCATAACGTGTGCTAGTGACCATGTGAAAATATGAAACATAAGAGCGGCAAAGTAGATATAACAACAATTCTCCTCGGTGCGTAAAGCAGACAAAACAGACTCTTGTAAAACCTGCAAACTGTATAGAAACCGGCATGGAAGCAAAACCTGTTGTAATTATTACTATTTCTTACTTAACATGCATGCTGTATGAAGAGAAAATTGAAGCTTAATAGAGCTCGTTGCACGCTCAGTGTATCTAAGTGTTCACCTGAAATGCGAGTGTATACGGTAGACTAGGCAAATAATTATATATTTTAGTGACTGGTGTAGCAACTTTTTTATACTCACCGCCTAAGGACGCGGGTATAAAAAGTTCATGGGTGCTTTTGTAACGGTCAGATAAAACGTCATAGACTCGGAAAGGTCTATAACATAGGTGTATATATTGATTGGTATGAAACTTTTAATCGATTTTCTTATTCAACTTCCCATCCCCATCTACTCGGAACACTTTAGATCACGAAGCTTGAGCTGGGAAAGTA